GGATCGGCGCGGCCGCTCCACAGTGTCGTATCCTCCTCGTTCTCCTCCTCGTCGTCCTGCTCCCCCTTCTCCTCCCTCCCTCCCTCCCTCCCTCCTTTCCTTCCTCCTTCCTTCCCTCCCTCATCCTCCTCCTCCTCATCATCAGCATCATCATCGTTCTCATCACCATCATTGTCATCATGGTCATCATTGTCATCATCATCATCATCATCATCATCATCATCGTCATCATCATCATCACCATCAACACTAGTATGAGTACCATTACCATTATCATTGTATTTAGCATTTTTTTGCTATGCTTTTCATTATCATTATCATTATCATTATCATTATCATTATCATTATCATTTTCATTCGCGTTCTATTTATGATTATCAGTATCATTATCATTACCATTCTAATTCTAATTGTCATTATCATTATCATTCTCATCATCATCATCATCATCATCATCATCATTATCATTCTCATCATCTTTATCCGTGTCATTCTCTTTATCAGTATTAGTATCATGATCATTATCGTTAACATTATCATTACCACTACCATTATCGTTATCACTGTCATTATCATTACCACTATCAGTATCATTATCTTTAGCAGTATCATTTTCCATTATCATTATCACTCTCATTATCATTACGTGCATAATTTTCAGTATCAGTATCATTATCCATATCACTAACATGGGCATTGCCATTACCATTAGCATTATCATTATCAATTGCATTCGCGTTATTATTATCATTACCAGTGTCAGTATCAGTACCATTACCATTACCATTCCCATTCCAATTATCATTATCATTAGCACTATCATGATCATTATCATTATCATTATCATTATCATTTACCGTTGTCATTATCATTCGAAGTAGCACTACCATTACCATTATCATTATTCATCGTTCTCGTTATCATTAGCATCATCAGCAGCATCATCCCCCTCCCTCACCTCTGGTTCCTCTGGTTCCTACCAAGAGGTGGTCCGCTCAGCAAACCTACCTCTACCCCGACCGGGGATCCAAACTCCACGGCTAACCCAGGGCCCGCCAGGGAAGGAAAGGAAGACCTGGCGCAGGCGAGGGTCCTGGGAGCTTCAAACACAAAATTCAAACCCTGCTCACCGCAGCCCTCGAGACAGGAAAAGGGGTCCCGCCCCAGCGGGCGCCTGTCTGGGGATCACGCCCCGCCCGCAGACGTTCGAGGGCGCGGTGAGCAAGTCGCGCCGCGTCGCGGCTCTTGCGAGACAGAGGGAGGCAAGGATCGGCAAGGAGCTTCGCCTGACGACTCCCATGCGCCCCACATGTCCGACAAAAAACGAGACACCCACCCATCCCAAAGGACTCCCGACCAGACCCGTCCCCACCCCGAGTCACCCAAAGCCTATGGGATGGGTGGGACCTGGCGACCAGCCACGGGAGTCCTGGACAGGGGCTCGCGACGACCCTGGCCCTGGAAGCCCTGCGGATCCCACAGACGGCACAGCCCCAGGCCCGCCCGAGCCTCGCCAGAACGTGGCCCCTGTCGGGCCTGGCCAGAGCCAGCTCCCCAGGATCGGGACCCCTGGGCCCAGGGAGGGCCCCGCGATCGGGCCACCCAAGGTCCGCGAGCCTTTTGAGGACCCCCCCGTGGTGGCCGCACCAGGCCACAGCTTTCTCCGTGGCGGCCTCAGCGCGGCGGCTCAGCTCCTGGAGCCGCGCCTGCCCAGGATGGAGCCGGGCACCGTCCTTGGCCCGCAGGTCGGCCTCCCTGTTGCCAGCGAAGGCCTGCCAGGACGTGCTCGACGCGCTCGCCCTGGCCCACGAGGAGTGCGAGCGCAGCCACCTCAGCGTGAGGAACTCCGGGCCAAGGTCGTCCAGCAGCCTCCACACGCGCCTCCAAAGGTCGGCGTACTTGTGCCCAGGGCCACAGCAATGCTCCTTGCCAGCCGCCAGGTCGTCCTTGAGCCCCTTGCAATCCGTGTAGACCGTGATGGGCGAACGGCCCGCTTCCTCCAAGACACGGCACAGCGCGTAGAGCTCCGCGTAGCCGATCTCCTGGATCCACCCAGGCGTGAGGCCGAAGAGGCCGCCGACAACGTTCCCGACGTCATCCACCATCACGGCAGCCCAGCCCGTACGAGTCAGGCACAGGATGTCAGGGTACATCGCAGACCCATCGATGCAGATGACGCCGTATAGGAAGCCCTGCTTGGCGCGCCCTGCGCGGTGGCAGATCTCGTCCATGCCTGGAGGCGGGGCCTGATCCAGCCCAAGGTTGAGGAGCCCTCTCACCATGCCCAGGTCGTCTTGCGGCGCCATCCTGCCTGCGTCGGCGACCTCCTGGAAGCCCAAGTCGCGCGCCCAGCAGGAGATGGCAGGGCACATGAAGAGCCGATGGTGTGCCGTGCCTGGAGCCTCTCCGCACCACTGGCACAGCGGGCTGATCTCAGCCCTTTCCTCATACAAGTCGCTCTGCGTGACGAGCCCTCCCGCCATGTGCGCCTCCACCAGCGCCGCCTCCTGCGTCTTGCCTGCTCGCCGCAAGCCCGCCAGCGCCGCCTTGAACGGCTCCAGGTCAGGCGGGCGGCCCTCGAGGTGCTCGAACCCGCTGTGGCGCGCGACCTTCAGCATGAGGTAACGATGGGCCCCTCGCTCGACGAGGCTGGCCACCATCCGCGGGCTGAGAACCTGCAGGTCGATGATCTGCCCTCGGTCGTCCCTCCAGCGATGCCAGTCCATCATCTCCCAACCAATGCGCTCCAGCGAGAGGCAGACCGCCCCCGCTGGCCCCGTGACCTCGCCCCAGTCGCCCGGCCTGCGCTCCAGCACCTTCTTGAAAACCGCTGGCGGCCGCGCGCGCAAGAAGATGGCGCGAGCCCAGGCCCTCAGCGGTAGGGCGTGCGCCGCAAAGGCTGGGTCGTGACGCCAGTCTTTGCCTTCCTGCAGGGCAAAGAGGACTGTCCTGGACTTCTGGCCGACCCTCGCCCGAGATGGCCCTGCCATTGATCGCTCTGGCGCGCTGGAGGGACTCGGTGGGCACACCGCTGACCCTCGCGCCATGGAGGATGGACGCTAATCCTCCCGTCCTGAAGACCTTGGAGAGTCGCTTGGCCCCAGCCTTGCGGAGCACCCTATATTGCCCCGCCCTCTGGCTCAGGCGGTTGATCCTCTGACGCAGCACCTTCCAGGAGGCCGACTTCGACGTGCTGAAGTCCACGCCCAGGTTCTTCGTGGCCTTCTCGTGCGTGAACTTCCAACGCTTGAGCCTGGAGACGGCCCGCTTGGCGATCTCAGAGTCGGTGCACAGCACCTGGCCCTTCGTCAAAGAGATGGTGAAGCCAATGTCCTCCAAGTCCAAGCAGAGGGCGCGGGTGGCGCCGACCAAGATGTGCTCGACCTGCGCGCTTGGCGTAGACTGCCAGCGCAATGTCGTCGACCACCAAATACGGGCGCACCATCTGCCAGGACGCCAGCAGCGCGTCGAGGGGCTTGACCAGCACCACTCGAAGTAGTGTCGCGGCGAATGAACAGCCCGCCAGCAGCGACAGGGAGACCTGGAACGCCTCCGTCTTCCAACGATCCAAGCAGAGGCGTCTCCTGCCCCCGTAGAGCCGAAGGAGGATCTTGATCCTCCGCAGCGGGAAGCCCTCCCTCACCGCGGCGTGGACCATCCCTCGATGAGACACCCTTTCGTAGGCCTTACTCAAGTCCAGGAGCGATGACGCGGCCTCCAAGTTCAAAGCCTTGGCGTGGTCCGCGTCGAAGCTCTGCAGCCAAACCGCGTCCTCGCAGGAGCGCCCTGCCCCGCCGAAGAAGTAGGGCCTGTCCCTGGCGGCCTCCCAGCGCTTCGCCTCGTCGTGTCTGATCTTCCCCAACAATCGGATCAATGAGGCGATCAGGCCGATGGGCCGCCAGCCCCCGCCGGCCTTGACCAGGAAGAAGATGAAGGCCTCGGCCACCTGCGACGGGAAGTCCGTCCTCAGCTCGATGAGGTGGAGCAGCAGGCTCAGGGCGAGGACGCCGTGGTCCGAGAGCCAGCCGAAGTGGTGCGGCTTGAGGCTGTCCACCCCCATCGCCGTTGCGGCCTTGAAAGTCCTCGCCGCCGCTCGGATGGCGTCGGGCGAGGGCGGGCCTGGGGCGTCATCCAGAAGCTCGTCAGGGAGCGCCGCCTCCAGTTCGAACTCCTCAAGCTGGTGCCGCCACACCTGCTGGTATTCCGTCTTCAGCGCCTCCAGAGTGCCGGCAATGCCCGCGGGTTGCCCGCTGGTCTCCACGTCAGCGGTCCACCCCCGAGGAGCGCGGCAGAAGCCGTGGGCGGCTCCTGCGCCTCCACTCACCGCCTCCTGGGCCCAGGCTCTCCAAGCCTTGGCGCGGCCCTTGGCATCCCTGAGGTCGAACGCTTTGGCGGCCTGCCTAGCGTAGCCCTCCAGCGACCTCAGCTGGCAGTAGGTCATGGCGCCCGTCGCGCGCAACTGGCGCTCAAGGTCCTTCTGCCTGCTCGCCTTCTGGGCCTCGTTCAGGCCGATGTCGCCGACCAAGTCCTGCGCGGCCAGCCTGCCGAGCTTGGCCTGCAGCCTTGCCAGCGCGGCCAGCTCCCTCGGGACGAGGTGCGGCGCCCGCAGGCGGCGCCTGCTGGCCAGCGCTTCCCAGAGTAGCGCCGCGATCCTGCGCCAGGGTCGCGCCTGCGGGGAGCCTCTGGCGTAGGCCCTGGGGCAGCTGGCGCTGATGGTGCCCTCCTGGAAGCGGGCTGGCTCTCCTCGTCCCGCATGCTTCCGCAGGTCCTCCTGCTCCATGTCGAAGCAGCCGCACAAGTCCTCCTCGAGCGGCGCCGCAAAGCTGGCGTAGAGCTCGTCCAGCGTCCGAGGCGGCGCGCCTGGGCTGGCCGGCGGCCTCCCTCCCTCTCCCTCTTGCCCTCCTCCTCCACCACCTCCTCCTCCTCCACCACCTGCGCCTCCCCCGCCTCGCCCATCCCTCTTCTCCGTGGATCAGCTCTCTGCTCCCCTCCTGCCCGAGGACGGCGAGGGAAAGCTGTCCCTCAAGGCGGGTGACCAGGCCTCGAGCAGTGCGGCCTCAAGCAGGTCCGCGTCGCCGTGCAAGGCCAGCACCCCTCGCCGTTCGCCGCCCGCCGCCCGCCCGCCGCCGCCGCCGCTGCTCGCCGCCGCCGCCGCTCGCCGCTCTCCACCGCTCGCCGCTCTCTGCCGCCGTCCTTCGGAGGGCCTTCGGGGGCCCCTTCGGAAGGGGGCCCCGGGGCCCTCGGATGGGGGCCCTCGCGACGGGGCCCCTCGGAGGGGGCTCCTCCCAGGGGCCCTCGGAGGGGCCGCCGGGGGGCCCTCGGAGGCCTCGGGGCCCGCCAGCCCTCGAGCCTGTCCTGATCCTGCCTCCGTCTTCGGGCCGTTCTCACTATCGGGGGCCTATCGCCGATCCATCGGCGGTGTGTCGCCGATTCCAAGTCGACGCATCCCCCCCATGCCAGTCCCCCCGCTATCTTTGCATATCAAGGAGTTGGATGGGGGAGGAAGAGGAGGAGGAGGAGGAGGAGGAGGAGGAGGAGGAGGAGGAGGAGGAGGAGGAGGAGGAGGAGGAGGAGAGGAGGAGGAGGAGGGAGGAGGAGAGGAGGAGGAGGAGGAGGAGGAGGAGGAGGAGGAGGTGGAGGAGGAGGAGGAGGAGGAGGAGGAGGAGGAGGAGGGAGGAGGAGGCGGAGGAGGAGGAGGAGGAGGAGGAGGAGGAGGAGGAGGAGGAGGAGGAGGAGGAGGAGGAGGAGGAGGAGGAGGAGGAGGAGGAGGAGGAGGAGGAGGGAGGAGGAGGAGGAGGAGGAGGAGGAGGAGGAGGAGGAGGAGGAGGAGGAGGAGGAGGAGGAGGAGGAGGAGGAGGAGGAGGAGGAGGAGGAGGAGGCGGAAGGAGGAGGAGGAGGAGGAGAGGAGGAGGAGGAGGAGGAGGAGGAGGAGGAGGAGGAGGAGGAGGAGCAGGAGGCAGGAGCAGGAGCAGGAGCAGGAGCAGGAGCCAGGAGCAGGAGCAGGAGCAGGAGCAGGAAGCAGAGCAGGGCAGGAGCAGGAGCAGGAGAGGAGGAGGAGGAGGAGGAGGAGGAGAGGAGGAGGAGGAGGAGGAGGAGGAGGAGGAGGAGGAGGAGGAGGAGGAGGAGGAGGAGGAGAGGAGCAGGAGCAGGAGCAGGAGCAGGAACAGGAGCAGGAGCAGGCAGGAGCAGGAACAGCAGGAGCAGGAGCAGGAGCAAGCAGGAGGAGGAGGAGGAGGAGTAGGAGGAGGAGGAGGAGGAGGAGGAGGAGGAGGAGGAGGAGGAGGAGGAGGAGGAGGAGGTGGAGGTGGAGGTGGGTGTGCTGAGTGTGCTGACTACACGGGGCAGGGCCCCCTCTCCGCAGAGCATCACGCCGCCCGCGCCCCAGGGGGATAGCTGCACCCTAGGGCCTTTCAGCGGAGCGGACGGGCGGGCCCACGGGGCCCCAGACACCCAGGAGGGGCCGAGAGGAGGCCCGCTGAAAGAACGAACCCCCCGAGCACAGCCACCCCCCCGAGGCCTATAGCCCGCAGCTCCTCACACCGTGAAGGCCTTCCCGAGCAGCCCGCCGAGCTCGACGAGCCACCGACCCTTTCCCGCCTCCTTCCAGTCGAAGTGCGAAAATCCCTGCCGTCTTCACGCGGCGACTGCGCTCCGCGCGTCCACGGCCCCGCGCAGCATGCGCCACGCGACTCTCCCCGGAAGTGGATCTCGAGCTCCTCCCAGTCGGACTTCGGGAACACCGCGCTCCGACAGCATGCGCTCTCAAAGCACGGCACCGCACAGTATGCACCGTACGTGGCGAACACCTTCACAATGATGAAGAATACTACGAACCTTTGCTTCCACATGGAGTGCATTTCACAGAAACTTCACCATGGGAGACGCCATGGCTCCGAGGCGCTGCGCCCTTTCGAAGTTCGCGCCCCGACCGATCGAGCGGACCCCAGCTCGACGCGAAAGGGCTGGAGGTGGAGGTGGAGGTGGAGGAGGAGGAGGAGGAGGAGGAGGAGGAGGAGGAGGAGGAGGAGGGACAAGGAGGAGGAGGAGAGGAGGAGGAGGAGGAGGAGGAGGAGAGGAGGAGGAGAGGAGGAGGAGGAGGAGGAGCTGAAGGAGGAGGAGGAGGAGGAGGTGGAGGAGGAGGAGGAGGAGGAGGGGAGGAGGAGGAGGAGGACGAGAGAGGAAGAGGGACAAGCAGGGAGGAGGAGGAGAGGAGGAGGAGGAGGAGGAGGAGGAAGGAGGAGGAGGAGGAGGAGGAGGAGGAGGAGGAGGAGGAGGAGGAGGAGTTGGAGGAGGATGAGGAGGAGGAGGAGGAGGAGGATGACGAGGAGCAGGAGGAGGAGGAGAGAGGAGGAGGAGGAGGAGGAGGAGGAGGAGGATGAGGATGAGGAGGAGGAGGAGGAGGAGGAGGAGGAGGAGGAGGAGGAGGAGTAGTTGGAGGAGGAGTTGGAGGAGGAGTTGGAGGAGGATGATGAGGAGGAGGAGGGAGAGCTGGAGGAGGAGGAGGATGAGGAGGAGCAGGAGGAGGAGGAGGATGAGGAGGACAAGGAGGAGGAGGAGGAGGAGGAGGAGGAGGACAAGGAGGATGAGGAGGAGTTGGAGGAGGAATTGGAGGAGGAGTTGGAGGAGGAGTTGGAGGAGGATGATGAGGAGGAGGAGTTGGAGTAGAAGGATGATGCTGATGATGCTGATGATGCTGATGATGATGATAATGATGATGATGATGCTACTGCTGATCATGATGATGATGCTGATGATGATGATGCTGATGATGCTGATGATGATGCGGATGCTGATGATGATGACGATGATGATGACGATGCTGCTGATGATGGTGGTGCTGCTGATGATGATGATGCTGATGATGCTGCTGCTGCTGAGGATGATGATGATTATGATGATGATGATGAGGATGATGATGATGATGATGATGACGATGACGATGAAGATGATGATGATGATGATGATGATGATGCTGATGCTGATGCTGATGACGATGATGCTGATGACGATGATGATGCTGTTGATGATGATGCTGATGATGCTGATGATGATGCTGCTGCTGATGACGATGATGATGCTGATGATGATGATGTATGATGGTGGTGATGATGATGATGCTGAGCTGATGCTGTTGCTGCTGATGATGCTGATGATGCTGCTGATGATTGATGGTGATGATGATGTGATGATGATGATGCTGATGCTGATGATGATGATTGATGATGATGATGATGCTGATGATGAGATGATGATGATGATGATGTTGAATGATGATGATGATGATGATGATGATGGTGGTTGATGATGATGATGATGATGATGTGATGATGCTGATGATGATGATGAGATGATGACGATGATGATATGATCGATGATGATGATGATGATGATGCTGCATGATTGATGATGATGATATGATGATGATGATGATGATGATGATTGATGATGATTTGATGATGATGATGATGATGATGATGTTGATGCATGATGATGATGATGATGATGATGATGATGATGATGATGATGATGATGTGATGATGATGATGATGATGCTGATGATGATGATGATGATGATGATGATGATGATGATGATGATGATGATGATTGATGATGATGATGATGATGATGATGATGATGATGATGATGATGATGATGATGATGATGATGATGATGATGATTGCTGATGATGCTGATGCTGTGATGGAGATGATGCTGATGATGCTGATGCTGATGATGCTGCTGAGGAGGAGGAGGAGGAGGAGGCGGAGGAGGAGGAGGAGGAGGAGGAGGAGGAGGAGGAGGGGGAGTTGGAGGAGGAGTGGAGGAGGAGGAGGAGGAAGAGGAGGAGGAGGAGGAGGAGGAGGAGGAGGAGGAGGAGGAGGAGAAAGAGGAGAAAGAGGAGAAAGAGGGAGGGAGGTGGAGCTCCCTCTGGGCAAGGACCCGCCCCGGATGACCGAGTCCCGGTCGGACAAGTTCCACGAGAGGCCCAGCGACGGCGCGGTCGGGGGCCTCCGTGGGCCCGACGGCTCTTCGTGGCAGGGCGGCAGGGCCGTCAGCCGGATGGACCGCTGGGGTGGGGGGGCCAGCTCCTCTTTGCCCCTCCTTGCTCCACCTTTTCGACGCTGCGCAGGTCAGAGCCTGAAGCGTTCGTTGCTCCCCCTCCTCCTCCTTCTCTCCCATCCTCCTCCTGCTTGCTCCACTCATCCTCTCCTCTTCTTCCTCCTTGCTCTTCGTCCTCCTCCTCCTCCTCTTCCCCCCCCCCTCCCTCCTGCTCCACACGTTCAGCCTCTCCTGCTTGCTCCACTCATCCTCTTTTCTTTTTCCTCCTTGCTCCTCCTCCTTCCTCCCTTCCCTCCTCCTCCCCCTCCCCTCACCCCACACCCTCATCCATCCTCCTCCTCCTCCTTTTTTCCTCCTTGCTCCTTCCTCCTCCTCCCCCTCCTCTCCTTGCTCCACCTCCTCTTCTCCGCCTTCTCTTGCCCCTTCCTCCTCCCTCTCCTCCTCTCCTCCTCCTTATCCTTGCTCCATGTTTCTCTCCTCTCCTCTCGTCCTTTGTCCTCCTCCTCCCCCCCTCATCCTCCTCCTCCTCCTCCTCCTCCTCCTCCTCCTCCTCCTCCTCCTCTTCAGTCGTTTCGTGCTCGGGCAGTCGGGGCGGCCCGATTTCGCGAGACCCCAGACGCCGCCTGCCCTTTCCAGGGCGGCGGTGTATTCCCGACGCTCGGGCGGCGCCATAGCAGCCGCTCGCGCTCGCCCGCGTGACACCGCAGGCTGCGGAGGCGAAGGGCCAGCGCGCGGGCGATCCTTCGCCAGGCCGCCGCTCGCTAGACGCTTGCTGGGCCCCACGGCGAGCACTACGGCGCGCTGCCCGTGGTCGCGGCCATGCCGCCTGCTGGTGCTGGTGGTTCTGCAGGTGCTCCAGAAGGTGGGTGCTCCTGGGACCCACGGAGCCACACTGACGATGCCCTGGCTGTCGCCAGGAGGGCCTCTGGGCCAACCGCGTGGTGTGCTTCTGCGGGCGCGACTCCCCTGGGCCCGTCGTGCGCAAGGCCAAGCAGGCGCACCATGAGGCCCTGGCCAAGCGTGGGCCGGCCGCCAGGTCCACGTCGCAGTCCCTCCCACCCGCTCAGCGTGGAGGCGGCGGAGCTGACGGCCCTCGGCTCCAGCGGCTCCAGGCGGGCATGGCCAAACTCACGGCGGCGCTGGAGACACTCTCCACGGGCGGCGGGGGGGCGCAGGTGGTGCCCGCGGCGGCCGTGGGGCCCTAGCCATCGAGCCAGGCGCGCCCCAGGCTGCACGGGGAGCGGACGTCCGAGCGATGGCAAGCTGTACTTCTTCGATGCCTGGTGCCGAAGCGGTGCCGCAGCGGAGCGCCATGCCGCCGCCCCTAGCGCGCGGGCGGGTCTGCTGGTGGCCCAGGGTCGACGAGAGCGGCTGGCGGGGTTCCCTGGGGTGGAGGAGGGGAAGGTGGAGGAGGGGGAGTGAGTGGGAGAAGGAGGAGGAGGAGGAGGAGGAGGAGGAGGAGGAGGAGGAGGAGGAGGAGGAGGAGGAGGAGGAGGAGGAGGAGGAGGAGGAGGAGTTGGAGGAGGAGGAGGAGGAGGAGGAGGAGGAGGAGAGAGGAGGAGGAGGAGGGAGGAGGAGGAGGAGGAGGAAGAGGAGGAAGAGGAGGAGGAGGAGGAGGAGGAGGAGGAGGAGGAGGAGGAGGAGGAGGAGGAGGAGGAGGAGGAGGAGGAAGAAGAAGAAGAAGAAGAAGGAGAAGAAGAATAATAATAATAAGAAGAAGATTAATAAGAACAATAATAATAATAATAATAATAATAAGAAGAAGAAGAATAATACGAAGACTAATAAGAAGAATAATACTACTAAGAAGAAGAATAATAATAAGAAGGATAAGACGAAGAAGAAGAAGAATACTAATAATAATAATAAGAATACTAATAATAAGAATAAGAAGAAGAAGACGAATAATAATAAGACGAATAATAAGAAGAAAAATACTAATAATTATAATAATAGTAAGAAGAAGAATAATAAGTCGGAGAAGAACAAGAATAAGAAGACGAATACGACGAAGAAGAATAATAAGAAGACTAATAATAAGATTAATACGAAGAATAATACGAAGAATCATAATAATAATAAGAATAATAAGAAGAAGACGAATAATAAGACGACGCATACGAAGAATAATAAGACGCATAAGAAGAAGAATACTAAGAATAAGACGAACAAGAAGAATAATACGCAGAATAAGACTAATAAGAATAAGCATAATAATAATAAGAACAAGAAGACGAAGAATAATAATAATAATAAGAAGAAGAATAATAAGAAGAAGACGAATAAGAAGAATAATAATAATAATAAGAAGAATAATAAGACTAAGACGAATACGAAGAAGAATAATAAGACTAATAAGAAGAAGGATAATAAGAAGAAGAATAAGAAGAAGAAAAATAATAATAATAATAATAATAATAATAATAATAATAATAATAATAATGAGAAGAAGAAGAAGAAAAATAATAAGAAGAAGAATAATAAGAATAAGAAGAATAAGAAGAAGAGGAGGAGGAGGAGGAGGAGGAGGAGGAGGAGGAGGAGAGGGAGGAAAAGGGGTGAAGGGGGACGGGGACGGAGGTGGAGGAGAAGGAGGACCCAAGAGAATGATGACCGAGGTGGAGGGGCGGGCGGAGGAGGAGGAGGACAAAGGACGAGGAGGAAGAGGAGAGGAGCAGTGGAGCGAGGAGGAGAAGGAGTAGGAGGATGGGGAGGAGGAGGAGGAGGAGGAGGATGAGGAGGAGGAGGAGGAGGAGGAGGAGGAGTAGGCGGAGGCGGAGGCGGAGGCGGAGGAGGAGTTGGAGAAGGAGGAGGAGGAGGACGGATGAGGTCCCGCTGTCTCCGCAGTCGCTTTTCCCCTCCCCTTCCTGCCCCCTCCTTCCTCATCATTCGTGACTCGTGCTCTTTCCATCACACTTTCCCGTCCTGCCCTCCCCCTCCGCCCCCGCCCTCTCCCCTCCCCCCCGCCGTTCCTGCCATCCCCGCCTTCATTGCGCCGCCCCCCGTCCTGATTTGCCAGCTGTTTCTACATTTGCCCTCCCCGTTCCCGATGCATGCTTGGTGCAGGATCCCCTACGAGCCTCATTGTCCTGCATGTGCGCCCCCTCAGGCGGCTCCATTGGGAAAAGGGGGATGGGAGAGGGAATGATGACGAGGACGAGGACAAAGATGGAATGTTGACGCGGGTGTGAGGGGGAAGATGTGGACCACAATACGGGTATGATAGCACTTAGATGGCATGTGTGTGTGTGTGTTTGGAGGGAAGACGGTCAGAAGAACATACTGACTATCAGTCGAAGCATATTAAATCCGATGTGGAGTAGCGTTTGCCCTGGGGCAGTTTGTCTCGATGCCCGATCGAGGTAGTGATCGTCGATGACAGGGGTACAGATCATTCAGGTTCTTCGGCGCACTCTCACCTTGCGCGGTTTTCCTGTTGTTTTCCCCTCCGTATTGATCGACGACGACGGCGACGGTGTCCACGAGTTTCGCGGCAGTGGTCTGGAGTACCCGTGAGGCGCTGACGGGATCGGCGCCAGCTTCTCTTGCTGACTGGCGCTCTGTCCGCACGCAGCGCCAAGTCCGATCTACTTTAGCAGCTGAGGCTTGCGCCGCCGACGCATCCGTCGACCGCGGCTTCTACGCCTCGACCTATTTGAGTGAAGTGTTGACCGGTAAGTCATACGTTTCTTCGCGGATTTCAGACCGCGAACCGCCAGCTGTTCCGCTTTTTGCCATTGGCGATTGCAAGAGTTTGTATGATTGTGTCACGAAGGAGAATCCTAGCCTCAACGAGAAACGCGCCCTGCTGGACGTGTTGTCTATTCAGACGAGCCTCGGCTTAGGCACGAACGTGATTGCAGATCCGTTCACCAATATCTTGGATGGGCTTCGCGAGACCCTCGTACAGTGGATTGTTGAGTCCCGTTATAGAGCTTTGCGTTTAATGCAGCAGTCGATCGAGTTCCAAGGCAACAAAAGAAAGGTACTAGTCTGAACCGGGTACCCGTTTTCCTTGCATGCCTATTGCCTATCAGCTCGTGTCAGGGCCCTCTGGGTCCCATCTCTGTTGCCCCTCATGCGTGCACTGTTGCGTGGCCGCTTTTGCTCAACAGTCTTGAGGGGCCCCTCCCTGCGAGCCGGCGCAGCGCCGACATCAGACCAGAGCTCAGCATAGCTAAAGATCCACACCCACAGCATATCACAGCAAATCATAACACACATCGGTCAGCGACTGTGTGACCTGCTCTCGACAAGGATTTCGAGAATCTGTTGTACTGTTCTGCTGCCGCTGGCAGACGCCTTCCGCCGAGAGCCCGTGGCCCACGCTCCGCCGCTGGTCAGAAGTGCTCTCGCACCCTCGGGGCCCTGCAGTGCCGTCTGGAGTGTCCGGGGGACCTCGTGGGCCGTCTTGGTCTTGGGCTCCTCTCAGGCCGTCTTGGGGCCGTCTTGGCTCCTCTTGGGGCCGTCTTGGCTGCTCTCGGGGCCGTCTTGGGGCCAATGGTCAGCGGGATCAGCAATGATGGCTGCCTCTCGAGGCCCTTTGGGGGACCTCTTGGAGCCTTGGTGATCAGCCTTCAGGGCCTCTTGGGCCACGTTGGAGCGCATGCGGGTACGAGGCACCGCGCGATGGACAGCATGAGAACACATCACATGTAATGCTCCTGCGGGAGTTCTCACGCCATACAGTCGGACCGAGGCATAAGATCGAGGTCGGTTCAGGGAGAGTACCCTAGTATTCTTCGTGCTTGTCGTATGTTCTTGTGTATGTTGGGGAGGGTGCCCTTGGATGTTCTGGTTGTTTTGGCCGACGGAGGGTCTCATGTTCTTCAAGGATGTTCTTGTGGCCTAGGTCCGACTGTACTTTCTTTAGCCATGGGTGTGGGCACTGTTTGTCCGCCCCAGCAGTCGGACCATCCCGCCACCGCGCCTGGGTCGTGGACAACGCGACGGTCCAAGGAATATGAAGGGAGGGTAAGTAGGGGCAGGTAAAGAAAAAACAAAAGGAAAAGGAGGATGGATGGCTGGGACGGTGGGCGAGGAGGAGGGGCCGGGGGGGAGGAGGAAGAGGAGGAGCAGGAGGAGGAGGCGGAGGAGGAGGAGGAGGAGAATAAGGAGGAGGAGGGAGATGGGAGGAATGAGGGCGGCCCAGTTGAAGGAGGGACAGGAGGTGGAGGAGGAGACTCAGGCGGACGAGAACGTCGACTGTCTGATTGATTGGCTGATGGCGAAGAAGACGACAGACGACGATGATTCAATAAAGTCTGGTTGATCGACAGACGACGACGTTGATCGACAACAACGACGATGACCCGAGGTCACCCGAGGTTCCCTGCGGCCCCTGCAGGTCCCAACACAACATCTCGACGACGGCAACAGCGACGGCAGCGTCGGCAAGCTAGGCATCCCCGCCTCTAGGTCTTCGAGGAGGAGGACTCGAGAGGAGGAGAAGAGGAGGAGGAGGAGGGGGAGGAGGAGGAGGAGGAGGAGGAGGAGGAGGAGGAGGAGGAGGAGGAGGAGGAGGAGGGCGGAGGAGGACGAGTGAGGAGGAGGAGAGGAGGTGGAGGAGGGAGGAGGAGGGGGGAGGAAAGAGGAGGAGGAGGAGGAGGAGGAGGAGGAGGAGGAGGAGGAGGAGGAGGGAGGAGGAGGAGGAGGAGGAGGAGGAGGAGGATCAGGAGAGTATCAGGAGGAGGAGGCGGAGGAGAGGAGGAGGAGGAGGAGTAAGAGGAGGCGGAGGAAGAGAAAGAGGAGGAGGAGGAGGAGGAGGAGGAGGAGGAGGGCGGAGAAGGAGGAGTTGGAGGTGGAGGAGGAGGAGGAGGGGAGGAGGGGGAGGAGGAGGAGGGAGGAGGAGAGGCGGAAGAGGAGGAGGAGGAGGAGGAGGAGGAGGAGGAGGAGGAGGGGGAGGATTAGGACTACGATTAGGAGTAGGAGTAGGATGCGGATCATGATGATTATGCTGCTACTGCTGATGATGATGAGGATGCTGATGCTGATGATGACGATGATGACGATACCGATGCTGTTGATGCTGATGATGCTTCTGATGTTGATGATGCTGATGCTGCTGATGAGGATGCTGTTGCTGATGATGGTAATGATGCTGATGCTGATGATGCTGCTGACAATGCTGACGATGATGATGTTGATGATGCTGATGATGATGACACTGATGAGGCCGATGATGCTGACGACGCTGATGCTGATGCTGATGTTGATTATGATGCCGATGATGGTGATGATACTGATGCTGAACATGCTTATGATCATGCTGATGCTGCTGATGATGATGGTGACGATGCTGCTGATGATGATGCTGATGCTGATGATGATGATGACGACGATGATGATGATGATGATGATGTTGCAAATTATGTTGATGACGATGACGATGGTGATGCTGACGCTGACGCTGCTGACGATGATGTCGCTGCTGCTAATGATGATGGCGATGCTGATGCTGATGCTGATGCTGATGACGATGACGATGACGATGACGATGATGATGATGATGACGATGATGATGATGATGATGATGATGATGATGATGATGATGATGATGATGATGATGATGATGATGCTGATGATGATGATGATGCTGATGATGATGACGACGATGACGATGGTGATGCTGACGCTGATGCTGCTGACGATTTTGATGCTGATGATGACGATACTGATGATGCTGAGGCTGATGATGATGATGCTGATGATGATGATGCTGATGATGATGATGACGATGCTGATGCTGATGCCAATGCTGTTGCTGTTGCTGATGATGATGATGCTGATTCTGATGCTGCTGATGATGATGATGATGAGGATGATGTCGATGATGCTGATGCGGATGCTGACGATGCCGATTATGGCGATGATGACGCTGACGATGCTGATGATGATGATGATGATGATGATGATGCTGAGGATGCTGATGCTGAGGATGATGCCGACGTTGACGATGACGATGCTTTTGATGTTGACCATGCTGTTGACGCTGATGCTGCTGATGCTGATTCTGCTGATGATGATGCTGATGCTGATGATGATGATGCTGATGATGATGATGATGATGATGATGATGATGATGATGATGACCATGATGACCATGATGACGAGTACGATGATGGCGCTGCTGCTGATGGCGACGATGATGATGATGCTGATGCTGCTGCTGATGATGAGGATGGAGATGATGATGATGCTGATGCTGATGATGATGATGATGATGAGGATGATGATGATGATGATGGTGATGATGATGATGATGATGATGATGGTGATGATGATGATGACGCTGACGATGATGAGTTTGATGTTGATGATGCTGTTGATGCTAATGATGCTGATGCTGATTTTGCTCCTGATGATGCTGATGCTGATGCTGATGCTGCTGATGATGATGCCGATGCTGCTGATGATGCTGACCGTGATGACGAGTATGATGATGGCACTACTGCTGTTGATGATGATAATTATGATGCTGATGCTGCTGCTGATGATGATGAGGATGACGATGCTGCTGATGATGCTGATGCTGATGGTGGTGATGATGATGACGATGATGATGCTGCTGCTGGTGATGATGATGGTGGTCACGATGCTGATGATGATGCTGGTGGTGGTGTTGATGATGATGCTGATGCTGCTGCTGATGACGATGCTGATGATGATGACGATGATGATGATGATGCTGCTGATGATGATGATGATGCTGATGATGATGGTGACGATGATGACGATGATGATGATGATAAGGATGATGACGATGATGATGATGATGATGATGCTGATGATGATGATGATGATGATGATGATGATGATGATGATGTCGATGATGATGATGATGGTGGTGCTGCTGCTGTGGTTGCTGCTGCCGATGATGATGATGATGATGATGCTGATGCTGATGATGCTGATGATGTTGGTGATGTTGGTGATGCTGATGATGATGACGATTATGATTATGATGAGGATGATGATGATGATGATGATGATGATGATGATGATGATGATGATGATGATGATGATGATGATGATGATGATGATGATGCTGATGATGATGATGATGATGATGATGATGATGATGACGATGATGATGATGATGATGATGCTGATACTGGCGACGGTGAGGATGAGGATGCCGATCAGGATGAGTATGAGGAGGGGTAGGATGAGGGGCTGGAGTAGGAGGAGGAGGACGAGGAGGAGGAGGAGGTGGAGGAGGAGGAGATGGAGGGGATTGGAGGGGAATGAGGAGGAGGAGGAGGAGGAGGAGGAGGAGGAGGAGGAGGAGGAGGTGGAGATGGAGGGGATGGAGGAGGAGAGGAGGAGGATGAGGAGGAGGAGGAGGAGGAGGAATAGGAGGATGAGGAGCAGGAGGAGGAGATGGAGGCCGATTGCAAGGGTATGAATGGGAGGAGGGAGGGGAGGGATGGCGGTGACGACGGGGACGAGCAGGAGGGGGAGGAGGGGATGGAAGTGAGGGAGCGATGGAGGATGAGGAGGAGGAGGAGGAGGAGGAGGTGGAGGAAGAGGAGGTTGAGGAGGGAGGAGGAGGAGGGAGGAGGAGGAGGGGGGATGTAGAGAGGAGGAGGAGGAGGAGGACGAGGAGGAGGAGGAGGAGGGGGAGTAGGAGGAGAAGGAGGAGGAGGATGAGGAGGAGCAGGAGGCAGAAGAAGATGGACGACGACGACGACGGCGACGGCACCCGCGGCGGTGACGGAGCGCCGCGAGCGAGCGTGCGGACAGGCGGCGATTCCCTCTACTGCGACTCTACGGCGTCTGCCCCTAGTGACGACGGGACTGGCCACCGCCGTCGATCGTCGGTCGTTGGCCGTTTGTCGGCCGTTCGTCGATGCTGCTGCCGCCCGTGTCGTCGTCGCCGTTCGTTGCCGCCGTCGCGGGACGCTGTTGTTGTCGTCCGTCGTACCGTTGCCACCGCCAGTTTTCGTGGTCGTCGTCGTCGTCGTCGTCGTCGTCGTCACCGTCATTGTCATCGTTGTCGTCAATCTTGGGCGCAGTCCATCCGTCGTCTTCGTCAGTCGCCGTCGCCGTCGTCCTTGAATATCAAGTTTTAGGGTCGAGGTTTTTGGACGCTTCTGCTTCCTAGTTGTGCCAAGAGGGTTCTCAAGAGAGCTCCGACGTCGTCGCCATCCTGGGTCCTTCTCGTTTCTCCTCCCTCCTACAGGGCAAGGGCGAGTAGCTGCGAAGCAGCTTCACCCGCACTTTCCCCGAGATGCTAGAACCAACGCTGGTGGCGACAACTCGCAGAACCACGTGCGCAGCAGCCAGAGTTGGTGCCCACAAGACGGGGCCAGCAAAACGCTTTACGAAGACAGCACGTGGACGTCTCGAACTCTCGACGGTATGGTTGGTGTCGCTGTCATCTGGAACGACTGGTCATGGGTGAACGGTGGTACCCGACGGGCGAACAGCAGTTCCGAGGCGGGAATTTATTCATGACCACCGCCTGGAGGATCAACTTTAGGGGACCTCGGCAGGCGGTGGATATGGATATGGATATGGATATGGATATGGACATCCATATTCACCGCCCGCTGGGGCACCAGGACGTCTTTTCCCAGGCGGTGGATATGGACAAGTCCCCGCCTCGCAAGCAGTGGGCGCACTGCGACCCACAGAAGCGGCGACCGCTGCATGCGCGGAGTGTCCACAAGAACGCCATCTTCCCGCGCCCGACGTGCGCTCAATCTGGGGTGAGGAGGAGGAGGAGGAGGAGGAGGAGGAGGAGGAGGAGGAGTGGAGGAGGAGGAGGAGGAGGAGGAGGAGGAGGGAGGAGGAGGGAGGAGGAGAGGAGGAGGAGGAGGAGGAGGAGGAGGAGGAGGAGGAGGAGGAGGATCAGGATGAGTATCAGGAGGAGGAGGCGGAGGATGAGGAGGAGGAGGAGGAGTAAGAGGAGGCGGAGGAAGAGAAAGAGGAGGAGGAGGAGGGGAGGAGGAGGAGGGCGGAGAAGGAGGAGTGGAGGAGAGGAGGAGGAGGAGAGAGGAGGAAAGAGGAGGAGGAGGAGGAGGAGGAGGAGGAGGAGGAGGAGGGGGAGGAGGAAGGAGGAGGAGGAGGAGGAAGGCATCTGGCCGAGGGGCTGGCCGGGGACCGATCGCGATCGGCCGATCGCGCCCCTCCCGGCTTCGCGCCCCTCCCGGCTGGGCCCCCCGCCCACGGCCGGGCCTCACGCGCGCCGCGGCGGGTCGGCCATCGGGCCCGCCGCTGCCGCGCCCGCCAAGCAGTGGCACGAGATGCACACCGGCTGGAGCCAGCCGAGACCACGGAGACCGCCCCGCGCGGGCGAGACAGCACCAGCGCAGGAGACGCTGAGACAGCAGCAGGCGGCGGCGCGCCGGCTGGGATTCGCGGCCCGCCGAGGCCACGCCCCGCGCGTGCAGGACGTCGCCATGCTGATGCAACCTGAGAAGCAGTACAATCAGGACTGGTACACGCGCAGCTGGCACGAGGAGTACAACCAGTCTGAGTACAACCACTCGGAGTACAACCAGAAGAAGTCGGAGTACAAGCAGTCGGAGTCCCAGGGGCGCGAAGGCTGGACGCCAGCTGGGCCCGGCGACGAGAAGGAGCTGTTCGGCATCCTCGACGGCGTCCAGGGCCAGCTGGCCAGCCTCACCGCGGCAGTCTGCCGCCTCGAGGCCGCGGTTGCGGTGCCGCCCTCAGGTGGGCAGACCGGCTGCGCCTCGTGCCTGCGCGCAGAGGCGGCCACGTTCGTGCCAGCCGAGCGGGCCGTTCCCGCCGTGGCCTACCCGACGCCGAGCCGCGTGGGCGAGGCCGCGGCGAGCGCGCTGGCCGCCAGCCAGGCCCGCCGCCGCGCCGCTGCCGGCTCCAGGTGTGCGGCCGACTGCGCTGGGAGCGCCGCGGACAGCCGCCTCGCGCACCACGAGGAGCAGCTGCAGGAGGCCGCCGCCAGGACCCGCAACTGCCAGGACCCGCAACTGCTGGGGCAACGCCCCATCGATTGGCAGCTGGTGCAGGCCCAGTGGGGCCCGGTGGCCGCGCCCGCGCAGGCCGCCCCTGGCCAGGACTCCACGGGCGGGGGGTCGGAAGGCCTCTCACCAACCCTGCCCGTGGACCCGCGCTGGCTGCAGCCAGAGGTCTCCGAAGCCGAGGCTGGCAGCAGGCAGCAGCCAGAGTCCGCCGAAGCCGAAGACGAAGCCGAGGCGGCGACTCAGGCCAGGCAGACCCCCTCGCCTCCACAGCTGGACGCGGCAGCTGCAGCCGGCGACGGTGAGGCCGAGGCGCAGCCGTGCAGCGGCGACGAAGGCCGGGCCCACCTCCACGGCGCGGGTTTGCTAGCCAGCATCCCAGAGGAGGAAGCGGACGAGTCCGCCAGCGCCAGCTGCGAGGGCTCCGAGCTGGCCGCCGTGGCCGCCCCGCCGGGCCCTGGCGGCCGCCAGCTGCCCCCCGAAGACCAGGGCCGCATCGCGCACATGCTCGCCCACAAGGTGGTGCAGCTCCTGGAGGACAGCGTTGGCGGGCCAGTCCCGGTGGCCAGTATCCAGCAAGCCTTTCGGGCCCGCTTCCTCTTCAACCTCGATGTCGAGGCCGTGGGCTACTTCGACACCGTGGCCTTCCTGCGGCAGCAGCCCCCGCTCCTGGTGGCCCAGGCTCCGGATGGGGCCTTCCTGGTCCAGCTCGCCTCGGACAGGGCCAGCCCCCGCGGGCTGGAAGAGAACGGGGCCGCCGACATGGAGGAACGAGAGTTCGAGGACAGCGGGCAGGGCGCCCCCGAGCAGAGAGAGGAGGATGGCGACGACCACCACCTGCGATGGCTGCTGCATGACTCCTCCGCTACCGGGGATGATGATGACGCAGGCTCGGTCGGTGCGATCTCGGACGTGAGCGAAGCCCGAGCGGGGGAAGAGCTCCTCTCCCAGAGCATCCCGGTGGACGTCCACCGCGCCGTGCCGCTGCAGGAGGTCAGGAGCCTATTGCTCGGCGACGACGACGAGTACATCACCTTCATCCGCCAGGCTGTCCCCAAGGGGACCCACATCCACTTCGTCAACTGGAACGCGCTGGGCATGCCCGAGTTCGCCGCCCAGTCAGAGGACCAGGGCGACCTCGACAGGGCCGTTGAGATGCTCATGGACCTGCTGGATGCCAAGGCGGAGGCGCTGCAGGACTTGAGCCAGCGTCACTCCTCGGCGCAGCGGCGTGTGCTGCACCGGACAGCCGCCGCAGCACAGCGGCCCGAGGGGTTGGCTGCTGCCGCGGCCGTGGCTGGGGCATGGCGCCCGGCGCCTGGCGGCCGCCTGCAGCCCAGCCGAGGCGAGCGCCCCCGCCTGGCGGTGCGCGGAGGCCTCGCAGTACCCCGAGTAGAGAGCTGCCTCGCGACGGAGAGCCCCAGGGCGAGACCGTCGGAGGCGGAAGGCGCCCGGACCAGGGAGCAAGACCGCGGCCCCGCGGCTGGTGGGCGGCCTGAGCCGGCCCCACAACAGTTACGCTTAGCGTAGGGCCGGGCCCCGTCCGTTGCGCTGCCTAGGGTCGGCCTGGCTCCTGGGTGCCCCCGGCCCCGCCTCGGCCCGCCTTGGCCCGGCCTGGGCCCCGTGGTGCCCCTGGCCCCCTAAATTCTCTTGAAATGCAGGTGCCATCTTGCCGCACCTGTCCAGCGGCGGCAGGCAGTCCCCTCTTCCTCCCATCCTCCTTGCGCTCCTGCTGCCGCCGCTGCTGCCGCTTCCATCGTCCTCCCCCCTCCCCGGGTTGGCGTAGTGGCGTGCTCAAACGGCGTAGGCCTCTGGAAAACCGCAGGAAAACCGCAGGAGGAGGAGGAGGAGGAGGAGGAGGAGGGGGAGGGGGAGGAGGAGGAGGAGGGGGAGGGAGGAGGGAGGAGGGAGGAGGGAGGAGGGAGGAGGAGGAGGAGGAGGGGAGGAGGAGGAGGAGGGAGGAGGGAGGAGGGAGGAAGGAGGAGGAGAGGAGGAGGGAGGTGGAGGAGGGAGGGGAGGACGAGGGAGGAGGGGAGGAGGGAGGAGGAGGGAGGGAGGAGGTGGGAGGGAGGAGGGAGGGAGGAGGATGGAGGGATTGGGAGGGAGGGAGGGAGGGATGGGAGGCGGGGAGGGAGGGGAGGAGGGAGCGGGGGAACCCGCTGGAAGGACGCGGCGAGCGGAGCGACCCAGGCTGCGCCCGGGCTGCTGCTGCGTTCTCTCTCCTCGACGGCTGCAGCCGAGAGCGGCGGGGGAGCCGAGCCTCCGCCGCGCGCCCACGCCTCGGGATGGCCTTATAGGTCGGGCACGCCCCCCTGCAGGCGGACTTGTGGGCGAAAACTAAAACATATCCTCCTCCTCCTCCTCCTCCTCCTCCGCCTCCTACACATGCCCCCCAAATGGTCAAACATCTATTGAAAACATCGTCCCCAGACTACAAAGCAAAAACAGCTGTTTTTGACCATTCCTCCTGTAGAGGGCACGTCCCCCTGCAGGCGGATTTGTGGGCGAAAAGTAAGACATATACGCAGACACATGCCCCCCAAATGGTCAAACATGTATTGAACACATCATTTTGTGTGGTTAAAACAAGAAACAAACAACTGTTTTTGAACATTCCTCCTGTAGAGGGACATGCCCGAGTTAAGGATGGCCTCCGGGCCATCACGCGCGCAAGTCAGCCACAGTCGTGCAGCCCTGGGGAGGGGCCTGCGGGAGGGGAGCGCCCGGCCTCCGACGTCGACCGGCCTGGAGGGAAACGAGCACAGGGACACGCAGAACTGTCGATTCCCAAGGGCGCCTTCGAGGGCGCGAAGTCCTTCCCGCTTCGCGCTTCGCGGTTCGGCTCCGACTCCCCCTTTGTCCTCCTCTTCTCCCCTGGGAGGCGGCGCGAGAGCGCGAGGTTATCTGCACTTCGCGCGTCGCGCGGCGCGAAGCGCGAAGTTCGGAGCCCTCGACTCCCAGGAAATAGGGGGACATGTGGGAAGTGGAGGGGGAGACGACACCCCAGAAATTATGTCGAAAACTCGGGGAATCCTGGGAGTGGTGTCCATCTGTTTGAGTGTCCCTGGGCCCCTTTCACCAGGGCCAGGTGGATCGCGCGGCTGCCGCCCCTGGCTGCCCCAGCGGCGGCGGGAGGCGGTGGCTGCGGGCCCGCGGCCGTCGGCGCAGGCTGAGATGGGTCGGCCCCCTCGCGGCTGCAGGCGGCCGTGGACAAGCCCCAGGCAGCCGTCCACGCAGGGCGACCGGGGACCTCACCGCGCCTCGTGCGCCCGATCGCGTGCGTCGCGCGCGCGGGCGGTGCCGGGCCCGCCTTCCAGAGGGGCTGCGATCTCGCGCGCCTGCCGCGGAATTGCTCGTGGTGTGCGCCCGGCGCGCCCGCCGAAGGCGGGCCGCGGGTCGAGGCTGCACCCGGGATGGCTCTCGGGCGAGAGGCGGGAGGGCCTGGATTGGCGGCTGCTGCTGCGGGCGGCAGATGCCCATGCCATTGTTCGGGTCTTGCCAGGACTCCTGTCAAGGGGAGCCGGTTAGCGATTGGGCCTGGGAGTCCAACGTATGGATCAAAGTCACTGAACCAGGTCTGCCGTTGTCGGTGTTTTTCGGGTGACGGCAGTTCCGGTCAGTGGAATGGAGCGGAGGGGGGGCGTTCCCCAGTACATATCACTAAACCAGGTCCCACCAAACCCAGTTCTGCCAACGCCCGAATTGTGATGGAACGCGCGTGCGGTTTGGTGCTGGGTGTTGCCAGCCCGGCGGGGACCTCTAGCCCCCTTCTTCTTCCCCAGGAGCCAAGGTGCGGCTTGGGGCCCACCCGCAGGCGCGGTCGTCGTGCACTCCGCCGTCGCTGCCAACCGCTCTCGCTCCGTTTGCGCCGGGCGCCATGTCCAAGCGCGCGGCCCGCACCGCAGGCACGCCGGGGCGCCGCCAGGGATCTGGCCTCTGCTCTGCTCGAGCCGGTCTCCGCAGCGACCGCCGTCCAGGCAGGGGGGGGGGGGGCAAGCGGAGCGATCCCGTGCGCGCGTGCGCGCCTGTTCCTGCGCCGTGCGCGTCCCCGTTTCTCTTGGGGGGGGGGGTCGAGGAGCCGCCCGCGCGCTCGACTCTTCGCGTTGAAGCCGCGAGCGGGGGCGACGGCGAGTGGCCCTTGTGCTCCTCGGAGTCGGCACGGCGAGCTGGTCCGCATCGGCGGTCGGCGCCGCCCGGCGGCTTGTGGTTTCAGGGGCTCCTCCGCGCCAGCGGGCTGCTTCCTCCTCGGGGGCGCCGCCGGCGTGGGCGGTGCCGTCGCACCTGGGCGTCGGCGGCGGCGGTATCGGCCATGCGGGTGACGGTTGCCATCCGCGAGATGCGCACGGACATCCTTGTCTGTGTGAGCACATTGCATTCCGCTAGAAGCCGTAGCGCCATCCGCGACGGGCGGCGCGCCGACGGGCGACGCGCGAGATATGGAGTTCATCCCAAACTAGGGGCCGTCATAGCCCGACTGTCATGGAACTAGAGGTACAGTATCGCATAGGCTACATCAAACAGGCAAGGCCCCCGAAGCCTTGAGGGGTCACGGTTGCTGCTTTCCCCTTCCACGTCCGCCGCCATGGTGGGCCCAGGCGAGGGACGGTGCCCCCGCATTGGAAGCGATGGTCCAGAGGCCCCTTCGGGGTGGAGGCGCACGCAACAGGGCGGCCATCGCCCAGCGGGGCAGACGAAACTGGGGGAAGCGCTATGGAAACTCCCTTCACCACATCCTTTCCCCTCGCCCCTGCTCCCTGCCTTTCGCCTCCCCCTCCTGGAGGCCTCCAGAGGCCCTCCCCCCCCGAGGTCCACAGAGGCTGCCAGTGGCCCTTGGCGGTAGGCGGGACCCCCAGCGATGGCCAACAGAAACATCCAGGAATCTCGGTCCTCGATCCTCGACCCTCCTCGTCAGCTGTCCACCTGGTCTTCCACCATCCCCCCCTCCTTGTGAGCGCCTTGCAGTCGCCCGCTGCCGCGGGGAAGCCCAGGACCATGACGTCAAACGTCGGCACCCTGCAGTGGATGTCGCCAGAGCTCATGTCAGGCCTCGGTAGGAGAGGTCGAGTAGGCGGAAGAGGCGGAGGCAGGAGAGGAAAAGGAGGGGGCGGAGGAGGAGGAGGAGGAGGAGGAGGAGGAGGAGGAGGAGGAGGAGGAGGAGGAAGGAGTAGGCGGCGGTGGAGGATGAAGCGGAGGAGGAGGAGGAGGAGGAGGAGGAGGAGGAGGAGGGGAGGAGGAGGAGGAGGAGGAGGAGGAGGAGGAAAGAGGAGGAGGAGGTGGAGGGGGGAAGAGGAGGAGGAGGAGGAGGAGGAGGAGGGGTAGGTGAAGGAGGGGGAGTTGGGTGAAACGGACTAGCAGAAGAGAAATCATGATCCATCGGAGGATGATGAAGAACAGCAGCAGGAGCAGCAGGAGCAGCAGCAGCAGCAGCAGCAGCAGCAGCAGCAGCAGCAGCAGCAGCAGCAGGAGGGTTGGGAAGCACAATGAGGCGCGCGAGGAGGACTATCATGACGTGCAGGACTGGGAGAAAAAAGGAGAGACAGAGAGAGAGGGAGGGAGGAGGAGGTTGTGTATGAGGAGCAAGACGGAGAGGAGATATAATCAAACCGCATCACGAGGATGAGCAGCTTTCCACGGGTGCCCTCTCATCCATGCCTCGCGGCCAACCCTGGCCCTTGGCCGCTGGCCATGGGCTTCCACCTTTGGCTTCTCGATCTGGGCGCTCCGGGGGTGGTCGGGTCGCACTGCACGAGGGGGATCTTTGCTCTGGAGCTGGAAGAGGAGCTCTTGGCATCGCTCGGACGTGTGCATTTTTTCTCCGGCGGGGATTATTAAGGAGCATCCTTGATCATCTGGCGAAACAACTACGCACGAAACCGACAAAAACGCAGGGAATGGACGTCCGAGCGATGGGGAGAGCTCGCCGCAGGGGACACCAACTACTCCGTCAAGGTTGACGTGTACGCCTATGGCATGCTGCTCTACGAGGCGGGCCCGGGCTCTTCGGCGCTCGCTGTGCCGTCGCCGCGCTCTGCTTGGGAGCCTCACGTGAAGGCGTACGCAGGGAGCTCCAAAGACGTCGAAGAGGGGTGCGAGGGCTAGGGACGTGTGGATCTCATCCAGCCCCGAAGTCGCACATATTTCATGACCCCTCTTCTGATGCCTCCTCGTTCGTTTCTAGTTCGCTAATGGCCGTGCCTGGTATGTAGGTATGAAGCCTATTGGATGTTCGATTGGATCTCGTGGGAGGCCTCTTGGAGGCCTCTTGCAGGTAGTTTGATGCCTCTTGGGGCTGCTTTTGGGCCTCTTGGGGGCCTCTTGGGGCCTCTGGGGGCCTCTTGGGGGCCTCTTGGGGGCCTCCTGGGGGCCTCTTGGGGCCTCTTGGGCGCCTCTTGGGGCTTCCTGGGGGCTTCCTGGGGGCCTTTTGGGGTGGAATGCTTAGTTTTCCGGTTCGTATTCCCAGTCTCGGGCTTTTTTGGAGCCGTCTTGGGGCCCTCTTGGGCCGTCTCAGGGCGCTCGTAGGCCGTCTTGGGGCCCTCTCGGAGGCCCCTTGGGCCGTCTTGGGGTGGTTTGAGGGGCCTCTTGGGCTGTATTGGAGCGTCGGAAAGCAGTTGTGATTTTTTTGGGAGTCCGGGCCCTTTCACGACTCCTCGTGTGCTGAAGGGATGCGGCAAAGGACGGGGCGTGCGGGGGTCAGCGCCGACCTCCCCAAGGAAGCCGCGCGGAGGTCCAGAGAACCGTGCCGCCCGCGCCGTTTTCCTGCCCCGCCCGGGCGCCAGCAGCTTCGCCGCGCTGCACGTGCTCGGGCCCAATGGCGCCGCGCTGCACCTGGGCCGCCTGCGCCAGCAGGTCGCCCAGGGAGCGCTCCGCCGCCTGCAGCCTCCCGGCAGGGCCTGGGCAGCGACACGGCGGCGGGTTATCACTGCGAAGGCCTGGCGGCACCTTGCCGCCAGCCCTGCCGCGGGGGCCCGCCGGGACCGGGGCGGGCGGTGTTCTGGCCCAGGGCCCCCCACGATGTGCTCCGTTCCTCGAGGTGAGGACGGGCGTCTGCTCCTCCCGCGTGCCTCTGCCTCCGCCGCCTCCTCCCTCGCTCCTCCCTCGCTCCTCCCTCCCTCGCTCCTCCTCGCCCCTCCTCGCTCCTCCTCGCTTCCTCCTCCTCCTCCTCCTCCTCCTCCTCCTCCTCTTCCTCCTCCTCCTGCTACGAACTGAAACCACAACTATCTTGCGTCTTACATGTGGCCCCCCAAATGCTATCACGTCACAGCTCATGTGTAACCTGACTGTTCTCGGCTTCTCGCAGGGAGTTCGTATTCTAGCTTTCTTGTGCAAAACTTTTTCTCCTCGTGCTGCTGTAAGTGTGCTGCTTATGATAGGAATCGCAGGACGGTGGAGGAGATTTTGGAGGGGGACAACTGGGCTGTGGCGTACAACTGGCCGCCGCTGTTTAGGACATCGTTTCTGTCCTACCTCGAGTGTGAGTGGGTGGAACTCACCGTGATCCCGAACATGCCGTCCTGACCCCCTCCTCCAGGGTTTGCAGAGAAAATGCTTGGAACATATATGCAGTTCAAGCCTGGCAAGTCGTGCGGTGGTGCTGTACGTACTCGCATCACACATTTTCACGACGTGTACTAATGAAGTTGTTGATCGTCAGGTGTTGAGATGGTGTACTGTCGGTCGTCGCCTCTTTTCCTTCATCCTCTCATCCACGCTCAAGAACATGTGAAATTGTTGGATCACCAGAATTGTCATTATGGATCTAACGCTGTCGGAGGTGATACTATTCGCCATTCTCTTCGTTGTTTTGCCTTTCAACCTGCCGTGGGTGCCATGGTGCCCTGCCCCACCTTGCCCCCTCCTTGGTCGCTGGGGATTTCAGTGCATGGATTTTGGGAAGCCCTCCCTCGTTGTCCATGGCCACCGTCCTGTCCAGGTTTGTCGCTGACCACTTTGAATCAGCTCCATGTAAGTGGCGTGCCAGATTCGGCTCGTGCGCTGCTGTCTTCTTCGTGCTCGTGCCAGGTCCATCGCGGCTTCTTTGGCTACCGCTCGTCGCACCTGGCAAGGCTATATTATATGACAGAGCGGTCAGCCCTCACAGTCTGTGGCGGCTATCACGCGTGGGTTGGCCTGTCTTCCGAACTGTGTGCCGTCTCCTCCTCCTCCTCCTCCTCCTCCTCCTCCTCTCAAGCAACTTGGGCTCCAACCCCGTTTCGGCGCCCGATCCTCGGGGCTTCCACGCAGCGATTGAGGGGCTCAGGTGCCGCGCCCCCGTCGCGGGACCTCGATTAGGATCAGTCTTTGCCGCCATGGCCAGGAGCCATCAGCCAGGCTCTCCCTGGACCAGGTGCGGTCCTTGGCAGAAATGCGAGTGGAACGGCATCATCCTGACGAATCCCATGACGTGCGCCCGCTGTCAGCGCTACCTCGAGACTCCCCGTTGGCGAAGTTCCGTGGGATGTGGCGATCATGAGGAGTTTCATGATGTGCGTGCAGATCCAGGAAATGAGGGGCCCCAGCAGCAGGGGCCGCGCTCTCGCCGGGCATCCTGGCCGATCGCAGTCGAAGCGCGTCGCCTGGGAGCAGGGCGCGTGGCAGGTGCGACGGCGCGGACGTCGCTCCAGGCCATCGCCGCCGTCTCGGACACATAGCTCCTGCAGGCCCCTCAGTCGCAGGTGCCTACCTTGGCCGGCGCGGCTGAGCAGGGGGCCCGCGGCAGGGAGAGCCCAGACGAGGCCCTCCGCCGCGCCGAGGGGGCCCGCCGCAACGCAGGGAACACCTTCGCGAGCAGGCTGCGACCAACGCGTTGCGTGCAGAGCAACCTCGCGGCGGCGCAGGTGAAGGGGCAGCGGGCAGCTCTCGCCCTCGCCCTCGCGGCTGCGCCGATGAGGCCGCGGCCGTCGCCGTGGCCAGGGCCTAGGGCGCGCTGGCCCCGGGCCGCGAGGAGGTTGCGTCGTTCGACGGCCCTCTCTTCCAGATGCGCTGGGACGAGAAGGTCTTCGAGAATATCAGCGAACTCGAGCCCTGTCCCGAGGGGGGGAAGGCCCTCGAGCAATTCCACTGGCAGCGCGCGAGGAGTCGGAGGCGCAGGAATGGTTTGCCAGCGCGCAGGGGCAGGGGAAGTTGCTCACCGAGCGCGTGGCGAAGGAGAGGCGAGTGGCATCGGGTCCCGCCGCGGGCGGTTGCACGGCCAGCGGGTCAGGCGCGGCGCCCGACGGTGCAGGCGGCCTCCCTCTGGCCGAGGCCCAGCCGGCCGCGGGCGGCGCCGAGGGGGCCCAGGGGGCCTAGGCGGGGCCGACGGCGCAGCAGCGGCAGGCAGCGGAAGCGGAGGGGCTCGCCTGAGGGGGGGACGCGCAAGATCTCGCAGGACAAGTTCGCGGCGGCGGGGGCCGAGACCGGGTCCGAAGGCAAGGGCGCGGCCGACGGCTCAGGCGCCAAAGCGGAATCATTGACTCAGTAGCAGGAGCGCCTCAGCCCGCGCACGCCGGGGCACGCGACGCATTGGGGGGGCCCGACAATGCCGAGCTGTTCTATGCCGATGTCACGGGGCTCCATGAGCGCACTTGGAAGTGCATGGAGATTCGGGTCGCTGATCATGAGGGTTGGACTTTCAGGGGCCCGCTGCCATTTGGGCGTGGAAATTCGCTCGCGGGGCGCCGAGGCCGGGGGTTTAAGCTGAGGCCCCACCAGAGTCCAGCGCGCGTGCGTGGCAAGGTTTGCAAGATGCAACGCGCGGAAGCTCGCTCCCACGAGGGCGGGGGGGCGTTTCTCGCTCGGCAGCGTCTGCAGGCGCATGACTTACCAGGGCTTCGAGCTGCTGGGCAGCGTCTTCGGGTTCCTGGTCGTCGGACGTCACTGGTATGATGTTTACCGATGGTGCTGCGCATGGCTTGATTTTCAATTGTGGTTTTCCTGGTTTATGCGTTGTCCTCGATCGGTATGCAGTCCCGAAGCAGCGCGCGATTTTATCGGAATGGGGGACTCGTTTCTGCCGTTTGCATGCCCTGGGCTCCTCGTGGCGATTTCAATCTGCCACCGTCTGGTCTCGCGCAGTCGCAGTTCGTCCATCGCGTCGACGGCGCTGTGCGAGTTGCGTCAGGTAAACAGGGCGCGTGTCCGTTGAAAAAGGACTTGGCAGCAGTCTAAATTTCAGTGTCATGAGTGAGTCGGCCATCCAGTTTGTTGAATAATTGTCTGCGTTGAAATTGGCCCCGTGAGAACCGCGCTGTGGTCTCGCTGTTCTCCTGGGAAGTTGCCCCAGTGCCCTGGGCCTCAGGTGGGGCCCTCTCCTGGGCCCGAACGTAGTCTTGCCCAGGCCTGGCGGGGTCTTGCGCGCAAGGCTGCTCGTGGTGAGAAGTCTCGTTGCATTCGGTTTATTTTTGGTGATTGTCTCGAGGGTGGTCAAGAGCGCTCTCGATCCCATCCGTCTCTCGGGCTTGGTGGCGAAGGGGTCGGGGATCTCGGCCCCTCGGCAGCCGAAGATCCGTCGCGCGAGTTTCAGAGTTGCGTTTTTTTTGGGAGGTGGGGGGCCCTTGGCGGGGGGGCTCGACGTCGGCCCATCTCGTTGCGCGCCCAATCAGGAGGCTCTGCCTGCCGACGCCCAGTGCCCGCGCAGGCGCGCTGGGCGCCGCCGGGGCTTCCGTCGTCGTGGGCGGCGGCCTGCAGCGGGCGCCGATGGGCGTGGGGCCCGCCCCGGGGCCGGCGTCCTTCTTCGGTTGCTGGTCTCGCGCAAAGTAGCTCCAATTTGGCGGGCGGTCAGAGCGGGGAAGTCGGTTGCGATGGGGCCCTGCCCGGCCCCCAGTATGTCTCGCAACAGCACCGGGCCACCCCTCCTTGCCTTATTTGGTCCCGCGTAGCACGGTCCCGGAGAACCCTCTGGTCGGGGGCGAGGTCCGAGCTGGGCTCCGCGCCGGGAGCTCTCCCTGGGTCTCAGTTTTCGCGCCGCATCTCACTTCCCTCGTGGTTTTTCGGTAAGAGAATTCGGTATGCATCGCCATCTCGGGGATGCACGCCGCGCGGGCGGAATCAGTGAAGCCGGCTGTTCTACGGCGGGCCGATTCGACCCCCCCCCCCACCCCCCCCCCCCCCCCCCCTGGGCCACGTGTCCACGCTCTGCGGCTCGGCAGGTGCGTCGTCCTTGATTTTGACATGCTCGTCAGATGCATATTCGTGTTGAGATGTCCGCGGTTGATGCGTCTATGCGCAGTTCTGCAAGATAGCGCCAGGCATAGACAGAGGGGCAATTGGGCTCGACAGGTGGGTCAACATCTGGAGGCCTGTCGCTGTTTGTTGTCGGGGCGACCTGCGACCATCCTCGCAATCATTCGCGGCGACCGAGATGAGCCCTGGGCTCAGTTGACCTCCGCCCTCACCGATCCGATGGGGTTTCAATCGCCCGCATTGGGGTCCCAAATGGAGTCGGCGAAGCGCGCGGCGGCTGCGCGTGACTTCCTGTCGGAACTTCCGAGGCGGATCACCGAACCAGAGGCGATGGGAGTCTTGCGAAACGCTGAAGCCTGAACCCCCACCGCCCCGCGAGATGATGGACGGGGGCGCCCTGCTGTATCGCTCCGGGGACATCGTGGATTTATAGCAGTGGGCTTATATAAAGTTGTTGGCCCCCATTCCGATCGACGAAGCCTCTGCGCGTGTCATGTCTCGCGAAATCTTGGGGGCCGCTGGTTGGGGGCCACTTGGGGGCGTCGCGGCTGACGGCGCACCGGGTCCGGGGGCCCGGGGCCGGGACCTCGACCACAAATGTGCACCCCGGGGGCCCCGGAGGCTCGTCGGGGCTTGCCGGAGGCCTCCCCGGTCAGACAAGACGGCCCCAGAAACGCCCAAGACGGACCTAAGAAATTCCAAGAGGAGCCTCAGAGGGCTCGAGATGCTGAGATGGCCTCCTGACGTCCATGGACGCGCACCAAGACGCCCCAATGAAGCCTCCAACATGCGTCCCAAGAGGGCCCCTAGACCGCTATACATTGGGATCCCATTCCCTCGTCATAAGTTCACTCTTTTTCACAAGTTGTCTTTTGGGCTTTCCGACGTTACAGGACGGCCCAAGAGGCGCCCAAGACCGCCCAAGACGGCCCAAGAAGCTTCCAAGAGGGCCCCAGGACAGCCCAAGAGGGCCCCAAGACGGCCCAAGAGGCGCCCAAGATGGCCCAAGAGGGCCCAAGACGGGCCCAAGAGGGGGCCCAGAGGGGGACCACGAACCGCAAGCTCGAGCCTTCCGCCCCAAGAGGCCGCCAGGAGGCCCCCAGGAGGCCCCTCAAGAGGCCCCAGGAGACCCCAGACGTCCAAGGACGCCCCCAAGAGGCTCCAAGAAGCCTCCAACATGCGTCCCAAGAGGGCCCCCAGACGCAAAAGTTGGCCCATTCCCCTTGTAAAACGTACATGTTCAACAAAGTTGTCTTTTGGGCTTTCCGACGTTACAGGACGGCCCAAGAGGCGCCCAAGACCGCCCCAAGACGGCCCAAGAAGCTTCCCAGAGGGCCCCAGGACAGCCCAAGAGGGCCCCAAGACGGCCCAAGAGGCGCCCAAGATGGCCCAAGAGGGCCCCAAGACGGGCCCAAGAGGGGGCCCTGAGGGGGACCACGAACCGCAAGCTCGAGCCTTCCGCCCCAAGAGGCCGCCAGGAGGCCCCCAGGAGGCCCCTCAAGAGGCCCCAGGAGACCCCAGACGTACAAGGACGCCCCCAAGACGCCCCAAGAAGCCTCCAACATGCGTCCCAAGAGGGCCCCTAGACGCAAAAATTGACCCATTCCTTTCGTAAAACGTACATTTTTCACAAAGTCGCCTTTTGGGCTTTCCGACGTTACAGGACGGCCCAAGAGGCGCCCAAGACCGCCCCAAGACGGCCCAAGAAGCTTCCAAGAGGGCCCCAGGACAGCCCAATAGGGCCCCAAGACGGCCCAAGAGGCGCCTAAGATGGCCCAAGAGGGCCCCAAGACGGGCCCAAGAGGGGACCCAGAGGGGGACCACGAACCGCAAGCTCGAGCCTTCCGCCCCAAGAGGCCGCCAGGAGGCCCCCAGGAGGCCCCTCAAGAGGCCCCAGGAGACCCCAGACGTCCAGGACGCCCCCAAGAGGCCCCAAGAAGCCTCCAACATGCGTCCCAAGAGGGCCCCTAGACGCAAGTTGTCACATATCCCCCACCCCTCCCCCGTAACTCTCGGCAATAGCAACCTAACCTCGCGATTAGCTATTCATCGCCACCCCCCCTCTACCCTCACTGCGTCGCTCCTCCCCTCCCCCCCCCCCCCCCCCCTCCTACCCCCCCCCCCCCCCCCCCCCCCCCCCCCCCCCCCCCCCCCCCCCCCCCCCCCCCCCCCCCCCCCCCCCCCCCCCCCCCCCCCCCCCCCCCCCCCCCCCCCCCCCCCCCCCACACTGCCCCCCTCCCTCACTCCGCCCCCCCCCCCCCCCCCCCCCCCCCCCCCCCCCCCCCCCCCCCCCCCCCCCCCCCCCCCCCATCCCCCCCCCCCCCCCCCCCCCCCCCCCCCCCCCCCCCCCCCCCCCCCCCGCCCCCTCCCCCCCCCCCCCCCCCCCCCCCCCCCCGCCCCCCCTATTCCAGATTTGTAGAATTTAGAATTGTGCTGTTCTCGCAGTCGAAGTCGCATTCGCGATGACAGCCGCAGTGGCAACGGCAGTCACAGACACAGCCTCAGCCTCAGCCTGCCTCAGCCTCAGCCTCAGCCTGCCTCAGCCTCAGCCTGCCTCAGCCTCAGCCTCAGCTTGCTTCAGCCTCAGCCTCAGTCTGCCTTCAGCCTCGGCCTCAGCCTCAGCCTGCCTCAGCCTCAGCCTGCATCAGCCTCAGCCTCAGCCTCAGCCTGCCTCAGCATCAGCCTGCCTCAGCCTCAGCCTCAGCCTGCCTCAACATTCAAAATGTGGCCCGGGAATGTAGTTCTGGGAACTCGAAGAACACGAAGTGGCCTACAGTTGGCTCCGGGCATTCAAATTCATGCCCAGGAATGGAGTTCTGGGAACTCGAAGACCACGAAGTGGCCTACAGTTGGCTCCGGGCATTCAAAATCATGCCCAGGAATGGAGTTCTGGGAACTCGAAGACCACGAAGTGGCCTACAGTTGGCTCAGGGCATTCAAAATGTGGCCCGGGAATACAGTTCTGGGAACTCGAAGAGCACGAAGTGGCCTACAGTTGGCTCCGGGCATTCATAATGTGGCCCGGGAATGGAGTTCTGGGGACTCGAAGACCACGAAGTGGCCTACAGTTGGCTCCGGGCATTCAAAATGTGGCCCGGGAATGGAGTTCTGGGAAGTCGAAGAGCACGAAGAGTGTGACTGTTGCATCCGGTTATTCAGAATGTGGCCTGGGAATGGGGTTCTGAGAGGTCGACGAGCACGAAGTGTGTGACTGTTGGTGAAAAACGAGCCCGGCACTGGCCCGGCACCCTGCCGGCCGGCAACTCCCAACGCCTGCCCGGACCCCCCTGTGGAGTGATCTGTGAGCTCTTTTGAGTCAACTAGAAACCTATCAGGTCTTTTCGCTCCTAGGTAAAAAGTACATGTTCAACAAAGGTTGTATTTTGGGCTTTACGGACGTTACTGGCGAGCCCATGAGGCGCCCCAGGACGCCCCAAGACGGCCCAAGAAGCCTTCAAAGAGGGCCCCGGACAGACCAATGAGGGCCCCAGACGGCCAAGAGGGCGACCAAGATGGCCCAAGAGAATGGCCCCCAAATATTTATAATTAAAGAAAATAAAAAATATAGAATAATAAATGAAAAAAAGGTCGGGCCCAAGAGGGGGCACAGAGGGGGGTCCACGAACCGCATGCTCGGTGCTCGAGCCTTTTTTTTTTTTTATTTTTTTTTTTTTTTTTATTTTTTTTCTTTCATTTTTTTTTTTTGTTTTTTTTTTTTTTTTTTTTCTTTTCTTTCCCGACCAAGAGGCCGCCAAGAGGCCGCCAGGAGGCCCCCAGGAGGCCCCTCAAGAGGACCCAGGAGACCCCAGACGTCCAAGGACGCCCCCACGACGCTTCGCGTCACCAATTTCTTCTCACAACGATTCCTGGGTCTGTGACTCGACAGAACCTAAGCGCGCGCGAAGCGCGCGCGTGGTTCTAGTATATATATATATATATATATTTGTTTGATTCTTGGCGTAAGTCTATTCTTTATGTATTGTTCCAGATCTGCCTGTAGGAGGACATGCTCGACCTAACCGTAGTGGTCGGTTCGACTTGAAAGAGTTGCAGCAGTGGCAAGCTGGTAGCAGCCCACTCTTGCAAGGCGGGAGCCTGCGCGTGGTTTGCAAGTCCGCCCGACTGCTCTGCTTCTGGGTAAAGGACGCGGACCCAGATCGGGGATCAGCTGGGCGGACTTGAAGCCCGCTTTGCGAGTGCCTTGCAAGTGAATCAACCACCTTGCGACTGTTGCAAGCCACAGCGGTCACTGCAGCAGGCATCGAGTGGCTCGGTCGCGTCCTGGCGCCAGCAGCGCTTCGAGTTTCTTTTTTCAGGAAGGAAAAAACACACAGACACAATTAATCGTCGGCTCCCAGGAAAATGTCGGAAAATATGGGAAGTGGGGGGAAGACAAAAACCAGAAAATATGAGCAACTATGCGGAATCCTGTTATTTGTGTGTATTTATTTGTGTGTCCCAGGGCCCCTTCATTTTTGCTCACTGCTGGCGCGGTAAATGTTACCCGGAGGCTGCGGAGAGTCCTCCAGGCGTGAGCGGCTCCTCCGCACGCGCGGGAGCCCTGCTCCTCCTCATCATCCTCCTGCTCCTCCCCGTCCTCCTCCTGCACAGACAGAATTTCTCGGAAGTCTGCGCGGACTTCTCGAATCCTTGTTGGGCCCCCCCTGGCAGCGCCTCGGGCGCCGCCCCTGGCGCGTTCCGTGTTGTGTGTGTGTGTGCATGCGTGTGTGTGTGTGTGTGTGTGTGTGTGTGTGTGTGTGTGTGTGTGTGTGTGTGTGTGTGTGTGTGTGTGTGTGTGTGTGTGTGTGTGTGTGTGTGTGTGTGTGTGTGTGTGTGTGTGTGTGTGTGTGTGTGTGTGTGTGTTGTGTGCGTGTGTGTGTGCGTGCGTGCTTGGCATGAGTGCGTGCGTGCGAACCGGTGTGTGTGTGTGTGTGTTGTGATTGTTGTCTGTGTGTGTGTGGCGCTCGCGCGCGCGCGCGCGGTTGATTCGTGTGTGTGTGTTCTTTGAGCTGTCTTTGTGTGTGTGTGTGTGTGTGTCTGTGTGGGGGCGGGGTTACTTTGATCATGTCCCGGGTTTCCCTCTGCCTTAGCGCGACGCAAAAAGTGTGGTATAGTGTGTGTGGTTAACGGTGTAGGGAGGGGGGGGCCGGCGCGACCAGAAATCGCGCAAGCGTCCCCGAGAAAATCAGGTTGATGCCGTTTTCGTTCTTTCACCCATACCCCCGTCCCCAAGGCGGTTTTTTTTTCTTTTTTTTTTTTTTTTCTTTTTTTTTTTCAGGGCTTCCTACTGGGCACCCCCCTTTTTTTTTTTTTTTTTTTTTCATCTCTTTTTTCTTATTTTTTTTTATTTTGTTTCTTTTTTTTTCTTTTGTTTTTCTCGGTTCTCCCCGAGGCTTGCCCCGAGTGCTTCCTCGGGCCCCTGGGGGCGCTGCTTCTGGCCCCCGCCGTGCACTCGAGCTGCTCCGCCAGCCTCCGTGCCCTCGTCCGTAGTGCCTCAGGCCGCGGATGCAAGTGGGCGTGCGCGGCATGAACTCGTTGAACACTGATGCCACTACGCGTAAGTCGGGCATGTCCCTTTAGAGGAGGAGCATTCAAACATTGTCAAACATAATATGGGGACGATCTTTTGGACGGCGGTGAATTTTTGAACATGTTTTGACTCTTTTTTATGTCTCTTCGGCCATCTGCCTGTAGGTGGACACGCCCGACCTAATACTACGTCGTTACGCCCGTCACCCCCGACAGCTCGCAGACGCGGGGCGCGCTGCGATTTGAAGGCGCCGAGGTCCTCTGCATCGTCTCCCATGCGGCCCGTGGATCCTTGACCCCAGCCCGCGCCCTGCAGCTTTATGGTCGGCAGCACTGTTGCTCAACGTGCGGCTCGGGGCATGGTCCCACGGATTCCTCGGGGGGGGGGGAAGAGGGGCCGGGAAGAGGGGCATGTGCCCGCAGTGCCCGTCGTCGCCGTGGCACACGTCCCCTGTGATCTGCAGAGTTGTTTCGCCTGTGTGTTGTAACCGCCCGCAGTTCCGCCCCTTGTATCATGCCTGCTGCGCGCTCAACCAGACGCACGTTTCAACACATCGCATTGGCCTCGCTGTGCTGCTGGGATGTCGCATCTACTGCTCCTCACTACAATCTTAGACGCGCTAACGGCGATGTAGGTAGCGGCGATGTAGGTTTCGGTATGGTGGGTGGGGTGAGGTCGTGGCCGAACGAATTTTAGGAATGCGACATTTGCTCTGTCCTGCGATTCGCCATGTAGTCCTAATTCGGTACATCGGCGAATTGTCAATGTAGGGAAGCATGTGTCGTGATTTCCGACACTTTGGTCTGCGAGAAGTCGGCGTCGCAGAGACATAGATTCCCAACATCACCATTGACCATCCGCGCGGCCTTCGTAAACAACCTGTCCTGTTCGTCGCCGTCGCTGACGCGGATGCGCGGCGCCTTCTCCCGCGCGTTCTCTGCGGTTCCTCGGCGGCTTCGCGGCGCCCCGCCCGAGGCCTCTGCGCCCCGAAGAGGTCAAAGCGCAGGTGTTTCGCTGTTGTCGGCCTTCGAGGTTGTTGTCGGGCTCTGGGACCAATTTAACAAGCAATCCCGGTCGGACATCTGGCCCATTTAAGAGAGGGGCGAGATGCCTGGGGTGACAGACCGTGTGGTGACTTTAAGATCCCCAAGAAGCCCTCACAACACGGTCCCTCACTGCACGCTGCTGGGACCTCGGGGGCCACAGTCGCCTGAGACATCCTCGGAGAACGACCCGAGACCGTGCGGTCACCCCGAATTCCCACCACCTCACCACTCGGTGTGGTCACCGCACCGTATGGGGGCCCGAGAGAGCTCCTGGGGACCCCGCTTTGACGAGACCACGACGTCAGAGGCTAGAGGAACAGTCTGCAAACATGCTTGAAGTTTCCTGGGCCTTCTGTCAGCTTCTCGTGACCATGTCTGGATACCCCTCTAAACTCTTTTCGAAGCGCGCTTGGGGAGAAGTCCGAGCGGGGGTCAACCTTGAGGGAGGTTCCCAGATCTCCAGCGACGCAAACAAGCCGCGACGGCCAGTTGTTCTACATTTGCGGCGCTCGCCGGGGGCGGCCAAGAGGGGTGTGCGATGACCAAGGGGGGTGGATCTCACGGCCGGGGCCATGATCTCCCCGTGGATTCCATGCCCCCCCTCTCCTTGTGTCAATGCGGTCGGGCCAAGACGTAAGATGGAGATCGGTTCGGGGAGGGTGCCCCGGTTGTCATCGTGTCTTGGGATGCTCTTGTGCATCCGGGGGCCCAGACCCCCGACGTCATGATTTTTTCATGACGCGACCCCCAGAGGTCCAGACCCATTCCCCTGGGCCGGTTTTTCACCCCGAGTCGTTTTTTGACGGTCCCGAGGCCCGGTGAGGGCCCCCGGAGGCTGAAAATGAAGGAAAACCTTCCGTCGTGATTTTTTCATGACTCGAGGGGGTCTGCGGTTGTCATCGTGTCTTGGGATGCTCTTGTGCATCCCGGGGGAGGGTGTATACCCTCGAGTACCTTTTCGGCTTGGCCGGCGGAGGGCCTCGTGCCCCTGACGGGTGTTCTCGGCGCGCCCCTTGGCCCCCCCGGGCCACGCGCGTGCCCCGGGCCATGCGCTGCGGCCCGTCTTCTCTCGGACGCCCCCCTTCCTGGAGGCCCCCTCCCCCCCGCCCGTGGCCGTGCTGGCTCCGGCTCCTCTCGGGCCCGCCGCGCGGCCGCATGGGCCTGCCGCGGGCCCTCGCCGACGCCCGCGTCCCCGCGGTGGCGGCGCTCCTGTCGTGCGCCGTCCTCGCCCACTGCCTCCGGGCGGCCGGCCTCGGTGGAAGGGGCCGCCCGCAGCCAGCGGCCTGGGGCCTCGCCGGGCGCAGGCGCTGCGGGCATGGGCCGGCCGGACGAGAGGGGGGCAGTGGGGACGGGGGAAGAGGGCGAACCCAGACCCCCTCGAGTCATGAAGAAATCACGACGGAAGGTTTTCCTTCATTTTCGGCCTCCGGGGGCCCTCACCGGGCCTCGGGACCGTCAAAAAACGACTCGGGGTGAAAAACCGGCCCCGGGGAATGGGTCTGGACCTCTGGGGGTCGCGTCATGAAAAAATCATGACGTCGGGGGTCTGGGAAGTCTGCTGCATGCAGCCGGATCTGGCCCCGCCGCCGGGTCCGTTCCTCGATGTGAATGGGCGCCTCCCGGCGCCGGGAGGCGCCGGGGAAGTCCGCTGCGGGAGCCGGCTTCGGCTACACGTAAGAGTGACCGTTCGCCGGAGTGACCTTCCCAGACCCCCGACGTCATGATTTTTTCATGACGCGACCTCCAGAGGTCCAGACCGATTCCCTGGGACCGGTTTTTCATCCCGAGTCGTTTTTTGACGGTGTTGAGGGCCGGTAAGGGCCCCCGGAGGCCGAAAATAGCGAAAAACCTCGCGTCGTGATTTTTTCATGACTCGAGGGGGTCTGGGGGGTCCCCCTGCTGCGGGCCAGGCGGGCCTGGCTGGGGGGCGCCCGGGGGGCAGGCCTTCGTGGGCGAAGCCGGTGGCGGTCTTCGTGCAGGTGGGCAACCCGTCGGTGTGGCCTCCCCTGCAGGAGTGCTTGACGAATGTGCTGATCGCGGCGGGCTCGGCCGCTCCTCCTCGCCGAGTGGACGTCTATGTGGGCAGACCCGGTAGGGTGCCTGGCCAGAGGCAGGAGGCCATCCAGTCGGGGGCGGAAAAGAGGGGGGTGATGACTAGGGGGGGGGTGGATATCATGGCGCGGGCCATGATATTTCCCCAGATCTCATGGCGCCTCTTCTTATTTCATTACGTCCCTGGCCCCCCCGCTGGGCCGCACACATGCCGCCGGTCATGATTTGCACCCCCCCCTCTTGGACACCCCCCTCTTGGCCGCTCCCGATCCAGAAGATGGTTGACGACGCCGCCAGTTGGGTGCAAAACTGGTCGGGGGCCCAGCTTCATATGAATCTGTCGCTGGCGAACAAGGGCGCCGACACGGGCATCTTTTTCCAGCAGGTGTTGGCTTTGAGCGACCCTTCGAGATACGACATGCTGCTGAAGCTGCACACGAAGTCCGACGCGCGCTGGCGTTGCACCATGCTGATGTCGCTCTGTGGGAGTTCGGAACAGGTCAGCAAGATATTGTCGAGATTTGATTCGCAGCCAGACCTTGGAATAATAGGCCCGTGGTCACTAACATGGACGTGGGATACACCAGTAGAGGAGACTTACGAGAAGAAGGGGGGCAATGCCTTTACAATTCTCGACGGCCAGAAACAAATGGAAGACTATATGAAAAGGGTGTGGGCCGACATTTTCCAGAACAGGAGTTTTCCTGCCCGCGATCAGTACCTCATGGCCGCAGGTTCTATGTATTGGGCACGCTCCGCACCGCTATTGGAAAATGTGCAGTTCAGGGATGCAGCTTCTCGATGGATTGAATCATGGACCACGAAGCCCTACAAGACTGCGTGCTCAGACGATGTTTGTTTACAGTTATATGCACTGGAGCGGATCATGCTAACAATGATCCAGGCACGATATGGTTTTGTTGGTGCAGAGGCGCCAGACAAATACGGCTTGGATAAGAGTAAGCGAGCATATCGGCAGACATTTCGAGAACATGGATGGAGCAATGACAAGAACAGATACGTGTGCCAGCGATTGTCTGCGAATCGTTGACCTTTTTAAGCTTACATTGCGCACCCTAACAAATCATGTCCCCATAAAGCCTTCCGGGGACATGGCTTCATGGGCCCGAGAGTTTCTGGAGGCTCTGAAGTAGCATGACGCTACCAGAGAGCTGTCTGGGAAGTTGCTTGAGAACGTGACTGATCGCCTTCTCGCGGCCCTCTGCGGATCGTTTCGCACAAAGGTGCCCCAAGTGCCCTTTTGAACCGTATGGTAGCACCCAGGGCGTGTTCCGGTTTCTCCGGACCCTGGGGCCCGAGTCTGTGACTTAGTGATCGGCTTCAGCCGACTTTAAGGGTAGCTATTTGGGAGATGTTTCAGTATCGGGAGCATAGCTCGCGCGCCGCTGCCTTGGGCTCAAGGCACGCGCGCCCTATTTGCCTGGACACCGCGAGTGTTCGCTATGTGCTGGAAAGATCATTACATCGATCTTATCCTATCTTATCCGCCCACCCCTCATACTGTACTTTCACAGCTACAGCAGAGCGATGGACGCTATTTGCCATCCGATGTCCACGGTCAGCGCCTTGGAATCGGATGCTATATGACAGGCTATATGCCCTATTTGAGTTACCAGGCTCACTTTCGACTTGGTAGCGGAGCTGGCCACACTCTCGTGTGGTCAGCTCTTGCTCTTCTCAGCCTCACATTCTTCGGCACGATCTTCGTGACCACCTACTACCCTGCGCCACCACTCCCAGTACATTTACGAGGATCTATTCAAGAGCAAGAAGCTACACGAGAGGTACGACGTCTAGACGACCAGATTGGTACCATATACGCTTCATCATAGCGTTACTATCAACCGCTCGGCAACGAGCCAATAACGCAATACCTGAAGCAAGGGCGGGGAAACCCGCCAGACAGAGCGCCTCGAAGACTCGACAAGGCGCTACCCCAGCGTGACACCGCTCATCATAACCATTCTTCGTTACACATTCTTGGGCTAATCGTTTTCGCTATCATATGGTTCGCGCTGGGGGCAGCAATCGGACACATGCGTCGTGGAGATAACGGCACCGATGGGCAAACACATGGCCCATATTGGGACCCTCAAGGTAATGTACCTTTTCGTGAGTACATCTACGAGGTCAACGCATGGCTCAACGTTACAAGCGGACGTATGTCGCCACAGGCCCAAGCGGCCGCAATACAACGCGGCCTAGGTGGCCTAGCGAGGACACTCGCCATGAGGGTACCGCCTGACATTATAAACTCTGGTGCTGACATTGATGGGGTCCACACAGACCCAGTAACTTACATCATGTTCCTCCTCAGCATGAAGTTCGAACGCCTGGAAGATGAGCGACAGCTCACTTCAGGCACACAACTCATCGACTTCCATGTGCCTCACGGGGAACGAATCGATGTCACTCTTACCCGATTCGAAATGGCCCGACTTGAGGCACAGTCGGTGGGATTCGACCTTCCTAACTTCCATCTGCTAACCACTATCCTATTCCGCGCCTTAGGAAGGTCGGCTATTCCAAGGTAAAGCATGGGATTTCGGAAGGGGGTTTTCTCTTTCTCATTATTTTTCTCTTTCTTTTTTTTTTTTCTTTTTTTTTTGATTTTTCTTGTTCCTTTTTTTTTCTTTTTTTATGTTTTTTTTTTTTTTATTTTTTTCTATTTTTGTTGTTTGTTTTTGCTATTTTTTGTTCTTTTTTTTTCTTTTTCTCTCTTTGTTCTATTTTTTGTATTTTTCTTTTTTCATTTATTCTTTCTTTTTTCTTACAGCCACTCAACCACCAAATGCCTCGAACACAACAATATGATGAGTTGCTGGAAAGGATGCGTTCGGTAGGCCACCTATCCGAACGATCTCCTGGCAACATAGGATCCGTGTTTGGAAGAGGAAGGGGATCTGGTAGTGGAAATTTCTACACTACCTTGACTACTGAAGCCCAGCCTGGAAACGGGCCCTCAAACATATGGGCCGATGACCCAGGAGAATCCACTGCTTTATTAGCAGGGGATCTATCACAACCAAGCTGGGCAACCAGCCCTCCTTCTAGAGAACCACAACCACGCCGCTCGTTATGGGGGGAATCAAATCCCCTAACCGACGGTGTATCCACCTATTTGGGAGACGAAGATTTCGACTCCGGCACCGATACAGACACTATATCATCAGATGGTGTTGAAGCTCTAGATTGGTCAGATATCATGAATATGGATAACGACAATCAGCGTGCTGAGCATTTATTCTGGCTGTTACAACAGGCTAAACGAAGGTGGAGGAGGTTCACACGAAAACCAGTGCGTCGTGTTAGAAGGAGGACACGCAGAAGTTTTAAAGGAAAGGGTAAAGGCAAGCGTGTCGTCGGAGGTTGAACGGGCGAGGTATCGCGGCATTTCTCCAGAGGCTCTCAGATGAACAACATGATGAGATATTCTTTGGGGGAAAAGGCCGCGGTAAAGGCCGTAGAGAGACCTCTGGTAAAGGTAAAGGTAGGCGGGGAAACCCGCGAGGTAGAGACGGCCAGGTTCTCAAATGCCATGAATGTGGTAGTTCCGATCATCTTGTGCGTGATTGTCCAGCGAAGGGAAATGGAAAGGGCATGTCGTCCGAAGTCCATTTTGGCTCAAGTGCACCATCCATTGAATATCTGAGCCTCCAGGACTTTGAGGCTATGGAACAGATATTTTTCACTTGGGTAGTTGGCATGGACAACATCGACGAGCTCGAGGGGTATGGTCATGGATTGTACGCGTACTACCTCGAGTACGTCCGCCGGTTCGTCACGGGCAGTAATGAACTCACTCCCGTGGAACACGGTACGCTCGGAAACGAGCCTCTTTCCTTCTTCGACTGGATGTTCGGGAACCCAGGCAACATCATGGCCTACGAGAGCGACGACGAGGACACCACTATAGAGGCTTCGCCTTCCGAGGTTCAACGGAACCTCGAACCTCCGCCCGAAATCCCGCCTGGACACAGACCTTTTCTGCTGGGAGAATATCCCCATACTATTGAAGACTTAATTGAAATGGAGTCTCAAGCATTTGTTCAGGCCTTCATTGCAGGCGAACCAGGTTCTCCGTTCATACCTCCTGGTTCGCTTGCTCCAGGCGAATATGGACCGCGTACACTTTTGCAGACCCTCATGTGGATGCATGAGATACTTGCAATTGCATATCCTGAGAGTCAAGAACAAATTGAAGCTAGTATTATGACAGAACAGGATAATGATGCTTGCGGTAGCTCAGAGCTACTCTTGGCAGCTTTGACTCTCATTGACAGTATAAATCCTCAGGAAGTGCAGAGACACTTGATATACTCCCATGGTAGATGGCGTCGTGCCCTGGAAATGGCAATGTTACGCATGGCCGTATGGTTTGGCCTCATCCCCAGCTCCTGGAGATTCCATCCTGGCGGGGGAAGATCATGACCACGCATAGCCATTGCCATTTCCAGGAGCTGGGGATGAGGCCAAACCATACGGCCATGCGTAACATTGCTAGGCAGCCTATGCTCGTCGATGACCCTGAGCCGACGACTGTGCCTCCTACTCCAGGACAGCCGAGTGACGCCCAGACGCCGGCCATGCAGGGAAACCTGCCTTTACCAGATGCGCCAATGGCCATCATAATTGGTAGTTCTACATCAGAAGAAGTAGAAGGCGATGGTTGTGGGTTAGATGAGGATGACGTCACCATCCTCATGATGGACGTGACTGGTGAGGAAGAGGTCGATTTCGACCCTGATGAGTCTGAATCATCATCACCATCGGCACAAGAGCCACTTGCGCCGAGCTCCACCCAGCAGGGAGACCTGCCTTCATCGATCGATCCACCTGGGATCGCAGAGGAGCCTCCTCAAGCACCTCCAACGGGTGCCGCTCCTGCTGCATCGGCAGCTACTTCTGATGAGAACACCAGAAGATCTCGTTCCCATACGCGCGTCAGAGAAGAGCCACATCCCCAGGCTCGACTTCCTCGTGAGTGGAGCCAGGCTGGCCCAAAGGAGCACGCTCTCAGAAGAGGTGGCCAGCTACTTCCGCACAACGACCCACGACGCCGAAAAGGGGAACACTCGGCCTTCGGCCAGGGCAACCCTGCCTATAGGGACGGCGATGGCAGGCCCATCCGTGGAGGCTATCAGCTTGCAACAAACATCCGCCGCCCTGAAATTCAAGAAGCGCGGACCCAGTTGCGAGATATTATCGCGGCTCGCAAGCAGTATAGGCCTCACGCTGCATGTGGTCCTTGTTCCCAGCCGTTCCAGAATCTCAGGCCAGGATGCCCCGTTGGAAACAACGAAGGCCTGAGCCCCAACAGGGGCAAAACCCCTCCTAAGGAGGGCCATCCGCCACTTGACCCGATGACACCGGAAGAGATCGCAGCAGTGAATAGTCGTCTCGGGATCTTGGGCCACTTGGATCCGAAAGAAGAAGAGGAACCTACTCCGGCTCCAAGGGGAATGGTAGCCATGACCCAGGAAGAGAAAGACGCGCTCTTTAGTCTTCCTGGCATGCGAGGAAACTCGCCTGGCGTCTCTAGCCAGTCCCAACAACCAGAGCCGATAATCAAGGACGTGAAAAAGGCTCAACCTGTGGCGGAGGACGAGGAGCGTATACGGACAGTAGAAGAACGCACACGCGAGGCAACTCGCAAGATGCTGGAGGATTCCAGCAAGCTCTACATGAAGGGGGCTAGAAAGCCCCCACTCCCACTACCTTCGAAGGCCAAGAGTGAACCCCCGACACCTAAGCCGCCTCCGGCGCCGAAACCGAAGGCGAGCTCTCGGAGCCCTGGGCCAGACGTGCATATGGAGGTGCCTCGATCTGCGACGCCGAGGCCGCCGATTGGCGCAACTCCTCCACAGGCGTCTGTGCCCAAGCAGCCACCTCAGGACCCTATGGTGGAACGAAGACGTTCGCTTAGCCGCAGCAAGTCCATTGCGGAACGGGCGGCAGCTTTCGAGCGCAGTGAGTATGCACCTGCGCCAGCTTCGCCTGTGGCGGCTCGTTCCAGGAGGTCCGATGAAGGAGCTATGTCGAGGGGTACCTGGGCGCCGAAGATCAGGGGCAGCGTCAGTCGCGCATCTCCGCGGGGAAACCCGCCAGGCGCTGCCGCCGCAGCTTCCTCCTCTTCTGGAGCCGCAGCCTCTTCAGCAACAGAGGCTCCGATGCGGGGAAACCCGCCAGTAGTTCAGCTGCACCACCCAGGAGACACATCCTTTACTAGTGGGACTCCAGATCTGATTAGGGATAGACTGGCACTTCGGAAGCTCCCACCGATACGTTCGGTGGATGAGCCATTCATGAAGGAATGCAGGAAGGCCGGAATTCTTCCCAGATCCAATGATACTCTTAAAAGGTTAAGCAAAGCTATCAGCAGGATATGTAGACATGCGCCAGATAAGTCACATAATCCTGTGTGGAGCTGGAAATCTTTTGATGATCATGATGGTCGGATCAACCTCGTGGAACTCGTGACTGACTTTCCATGGGGCACAGGTCACTCGTGGCACGCTTATGAAGAGGCCAAAGTCATTAGCGAGCAGTTGTATGGCCGCTCGGTTGACCAACTCGCAGCCATCATGATGGAAGTTGTTCATGTTCGTGAACCAGACGGAGAAGAAAAAC